GATCTACATATTTTGCTGCCTCAGATGCAACCAGATGGATTGCATAACAACGAATGCGTGGTGGAAATCACTTAAACGGGCCTATAATAAAAAATGCGCGCCCGCATATTTTAGCTCCTACATGTGTAGGAGCTGTACCGGGCCGGACCTGGGAGAGGGATGTGTCGGAGGACCGGCATGTTTTTACAACTGCCAATGCCATTCAGCCTTTAATGACGAGGATGATGAGCTGGATGAGGCTCGAGCTTCTTTTCTTTCTTTATTCGGTTAAGTTATTGGGAATTTTGTTTTGTTTTGGGGAATGTAACCAGAGCTGGTACTCGGTTATAGTTTGTGTTATGTTTTGTTTTAAGTATCGGTTGATACTTAGTTTGTTTTATGTTTTGTTTTAAGTATTGGTTGATACTTAGTTTGTTTTATGTTTTGTTTTAAGTATCGGTTGATACTTGGTTATTTTTATGTTTTGATTGAGTAAGGACATGAGTGAGAATTCATGATCGTACTCAAACACATGTACTTAAAAAGACCACCGTTTTCCACTCTGGAAATGGCAGACTTCGACAGTTGGTATTCTAATATACTCGGTTGAACCGTTATCTCTATTCTCCTATTACGCCATCGAAGCCTCCCTTAGCGAGCCCAGACTGTTACTCTCCGGCAGAAAAACACTCGGCTCCTATTGTACACAGCAGCGTGACAAGCCCCCCGGCGTGAACACGTTACAATTCGTCTCTTCCGAGGTTGAGCAACTGTCTTTTTCTTGTTGCATCCAGGTCCATTGCATTGCCTCCTTGCGTGGTGGTCCTCTAGGTCCCATTCTGGTTCCTGGGGGTGTCTTGGTTTCTCGTGTATGTTTAGTTAGACTGGGTTGAGGCTGGCTGAGTCTTTTGTATCCAGTCTAGTTGTCCAAATTGAATTTCTTTTCGAATAGCCCAACTGGGCATAGCTTCCGTAGTCGTGAATTTTTCCTCGCTGTATCTCCAAACTTCTTGATAGGTCCTCTTCAGACCTTTCGTGAACCACCTCATTGCTGTCGCTTCATCGCATTTGGCATCATATTGGAGAAGTCTGAATTCGTACTAATAATCCGTAACGCTTTTCATTCCTTGCCTGATGTCCTCCAATTTGTTCCCAGCCGCTTGGCTTAGTTCCATATTCATGAACTAAGCTTCAAATATAATTTTAAAGTTGTCCCAGGTTGTCCATAGTACGGGTGTCTGACTGAGCACTATAGGAGTAACCCACTATAGGGCTGCTCCCTCGAGAAGGATCAAGGTGTAGCGTATTTTGATGTCATCGTATCCTTGGTTCCATCCCACTGCATTGAAGTATGTGAGGAGTTGGACTATAAATCCCCGTAGTTTGCTTCGTTCACCATCCTATCTGGGTGGTGTTTTGACTTTTGGCTTCTGATCTTTGTTTCAGAATTCTTCTCGTATCATTTGTTGCACTTCTTCTCGAGTGAACAGGGCTGGTCCTGCTGGTGGCGGTCCTGGTAGCGGTGCTGGTCCTGACATTCTTTCAGGTCTTGGTGTGTCTGGGGTTTCTTCTGGTATAGGTGGAGTGATTAGTTCTGGGGTGACAGGACTTGTTGTTCTTGCTGAGTGTTGACTTGCTTCGCGAAGCGCTTCTTCCAATCCCCGTAGTCCTAGACTGTCGTCTTGGATGTCTATGTCTCCCTCGTGATCTCTGTTGAAAAGATCCGTGGTGTAATCATTAAGTGTCGCGTTGTAGACACGTTCTAATGTTAAGAATCCTACCGAGTAGGACCTAGCGACAGGTAACGATACTTCTCTGTAAGGGGATAGTTCTCAGGCCTGTGCCTACGCGATCCCAATAGTCCAGTCCTATGACTACTATCTCGTTCGCGCCTATCTCCTTATTCTTCTCCTTAGTCCTCGCTAGGACTTAATCTCGTCTCGTGGGAGGAAAGACAATTCTTGGGTTTCTTAAGATAGATCTTAAAGAGCGTAAATGTAGGTTTTATTGATAATAACTTTTAAAGGTAGGAAATAAACAAGAAGAACGTGTGAAGAGCTCATACTCAAGGTCCTCGCAACCCCTTTATATAGTAGCTCTTCACCTGGCGTGACTCATACCTCGCGTCACGTGAACCCCGTGACTCATAACCATGAGTCGTGTGAAATCAATCAGACGACTCCTATGAGTCGCTGCACAACATACCTAAAACCAATCAAAACATAATAACCAAGGTCGGTGCACAACTCGCGTCACCTGAGTGAAACCCATGACTCAGAAGTATGAGTCATGTGCGAAAATCATTACATCATGTGACTCACACCTGTGAGTCACTAACAGGTAAACATAATAACCTATGGTGCACTAATGTGCGTCATGTGACATCCCAACATACCTATAACTCGGACGTCCGAGCTATGTGAAACCTATCTTGCTTAGTCACAGTTTGTGACACATATTCCATTCCATATCTGCTGTACTAAGTCCCATATTTCTAATAGAGTTGAATCATACTATAGCTATAAGAGCTTGAACTGAAGTTCATGTGCCTCCAGGTCTACTACTTTGCTTGACTCTTGCAGGCATTGTATAGACTGTTGATACTCTTCCATAGTCCGGTCTCTGTCTTCTTGACTGCTCCTTCGCTGGTATGCCACATTCCCAAAAATAGGAGTCCGATTAAACACAGCCGGTATGCCCTTAAGACTAACAAGCTTGCTTCATAGTCGAAGCCTCCTTCCTGTTTCCTGGATTGCTCTTCCTGTAATGATAACTTCTTTTATAATATTGACTATGTTGACTTAGATATCTTTGGTAGTTGTTTGGACTTTCTATAACTAAGACTAAACTGAAAGTAGTAGTTATATTGGTACTAGGGTTCTCAGTAGTTTTGATTCGCAGGATTGCTTCTTGGTACTTGATAGCAGTAATGTAATCGTGTACAGATGGGTTTTCACACGCTGATAAAGAAGCTGGCTCCGAGTCATTATGTCATAATCATTTGGCACTGATGATGTTAGACATGAGGTAAAGGTGGTATCGGAAATTTTCTGATCAGTTGCATTGAGGATGTCCCTAAAGTCCATGAGTACAGTTATGTATGTACTAACAGAAATGTAATCACTACACTTCAGTTGGTTAAATTCTTGAACCAAGCCTTTACGTCCAGCCTGAGATGCAGCAGTATCAAATTCAGTTTTTAGGACTCCCCACATGGGTTGTGGGGAGTGGAGAATACAACCGAGCAAGGCTTTAGCTTCTGAACTACAGGAGTTGTAGATATAAGAGACTGCCATTCCTCGTACTTATAGTACTCTAGGATCCTTGCTGATTGTACTGACAATAGTGCTTGCTCTTCACTGAGGATTATATTGAGTGCTCCAGCTGCCTGAAGCAGATACTAGAGATCTAGAGAGGACTGAGGAAAGGTGAGCTGGGTAAGTTTAGTTGCTTCTCCATACTTGCAGCGATAGATTGTTTCTGTACTAGCTGCTTTTATATTCAGCATAGATGGGGGTCTTGAGAAATGTATTGGAATAGAAAGTAAGAGAGGAGAAAAATAAAGTATGGGCTTGTATGGACTCTTGCACTGCCCAGGCTCATAACCTGTAAAGATTGAAGCCTTTTTTCATTATATTATTTGGTACACGGTAAACCTACAACTATATATATAGAGCTTAAGACAATAAACAGAATAAGGAAGGACCAGTCCTGTTCACTGTAGATAAAGGAAAGTAAGGCTTAACAACGAACCATACACAAAGAAGGAAACTGGATACAAAGGATCACAAGAAGGTATCTCAAAAAATAGTGTTCGTATAAGGCTTCTTTCTCCTCTCAAATGCTTCTTTCACATCTTTATCTTCTTTCAAGTCTGGTTCCACTTAGGGCTAGCATATGTTGTTGTTTCCGAATGGTTTCTTTAAGGATCTTTGTTTTTCTGAATTCTTTACTTCCGAGTGTTGAGGAATCTAGGTGGTAACGGCAGATTGGAAACACTTCGCTATATACCGTAGTTGAACCGTATTCTCCTGGTAGTTCGAATAGTATTAGTTCCTTCTCTAATTCTAAAGTCTACTTTATCATTCTTACTTCTCTACCCAAACCAATCACATATTGCTACAAATAGAGGTTGATTGGTCACTAGACACAAGATAATCACCTGAATTGCTGATCCTAAGGCTATCAATACCCAACCCCCGTGGCGGGAAATAGCGTAGAAGATTTTCGAAACTTCATTTCCCACAATAACACGTAGCTAGAAAAGCGTGAGGTTTGCTCTCGATTCTCCAGGGCGGCGACACATAGGGTGCTCTCCCCTTCAAGCTATGATACCCGCCAGGGCCACTGTTCTCAGTTACGAGAAGACCTTGTAACAGCCTTGCCCTATTCTCATGCCAAGTCTCTGTGAGATCTCTGGATAATAGCCTGGAACAATTATTATACCTCAGATGCACTAAATTCATTTAATCCTTTTTCAAAGCTGAGCCTCAAAATATCAGTGCAGATATTCCGGGCGGAAATCCCTTCTTCTATTGCGTTCCAACCCCCATTTCGCCACCCAATGACCCCTTATTGCCGACGCGTCTCGGTGGGCAACATCTTGCATGCATATTTCTTTTCATTTCTTTTTTCCGAAGACGGCTCCCCAGAGTCTGAACCACCGTAAAAACTCGAATACAAGAGAAATGTGCTAGGACGTTGCAGTTGCCTCTCCTAGTATGGCGCCGTGTATATTCCTTTTGTTTTGTCTTAGCTGAGGGCTGAGTTTGCGGTGTTTTTCCCACGCTTTGTCGAGAAGGGGAATTCCAACGTCCTAGCACATTTCTCTTGTATTTGAGTTCTTACGGCAGTTGATCGAGTTCAATGCGTGCGCCAAGTGTGTGCATCGCCCTGGATCACGTCAGCAAGGCGTTGCGGGAGCCCCGCTCGGTTAGCTCTTTTCACCTAACCTACCGTATTCCACCGCCTCGTTTATGGTCGACAACACCACTACCCTCTCTTCATCCGACTTTAGAATCGCAGCGGGATACCCCACTATAACCACGCACCGGCAGCAACAACACTAGTAATAGAGACAACGAACAGCCACCAAAACATGGGGCTGTCAGTTGGTATTGGGGACATCGTCCTACTGAGCCAAATCGCGTACAAAATCGCACTAGCTTTTACTTCCGGGAGGAGATCCGCACCGAAGGAATTCAGTGAGGTCGAAAACCAGTTATTCGCCCTTAGCAATGCCTTGGACACGCTCAGCAAGGAGGCCAGGACCAGCGGCGCTAACCCTGACACATCCCCGGAGGAGGACCATAAAGCTGCTGAGAGTCTTGGGGTTATGATAGATAATTGCCGAACGACACTGGAGGGGTTAGACAAGATAGTGCAGGAGTATTGCCCTGCCTTGAGCGATGGGGGAATACGTGGAGCAAGGAGGGCAGAGGATGGCGAGGAGGCAGAGAAGTTGCAGAAGAGGAAGTGGAGCAAGAAACTTAAAGATAATTGGAAGAAGGTGGCGTGGACCATGGGAGATGGGGATTTGAGCACCCTCCGGGAGAAATTGACTTTGCATGTGACGGCCATCACTCTTGTTGTTAGCACTTTACAGAGGTAGTCTACGCTTTCTAGTTCTCGGTTGGATTTGTCCTAATGCCGCTATAGCACGAAGAGCACTCGCCTGAACGAGCAATTCGCCAAGATGCAAAAAACCCTTGAAGGCATGCAACTCGACCGCAAAAAAGATGTGGAAGCCCTCATGGAAAGGCTCCCTACCAGCACGAACCCAATCCCAGAGATAGGGGAGCTAGTCCTGCACCAATCAGTGAATTTCATGAACTGCGCGCCCAACGTTGGCAGCGAGATCGGAAGCATCATCCCGGGTCGTGGCTCGCCGCCAGTTCACGGATATGATTCCGCGAAGAAGGGATACCGGAATAAGCCTATTTTTGAAATATCCCTAGAAGCTGAGGATGGAGGGTTGAGGGTTATTTGTGCCAGGGCCGCCGTTAATTTGGAGTGGGTGCATAGTCAGCAGACCTCGGAGAACAGCAAGAGAGTCAGGGCGTTTGTCTGTCTGTGTCTGGGGACGGGACTGTCAATGGTTCAGTTCGGGAATGAAGTGCATGAGATACACGCTGATCAGCTGGAAGATCTACGCTGTCTGTTCTATCCCAACCGGCAGTAGCGCTGTCAAGATCAAGTGCTGACATTACTCTAGTACTTCCCATGAGCTTCGCAACGAGACTCAGCGGCCCCAGGAGACAATGGCGGCTCTACCCTATCGCCCACGGTCAAGCGGGGGGAGCGCATCAGAAAATCACCATTAGAGGAGTTAAGGCATTTCGTTTGTTTCCCCTATTTGCAGTAACCACCAAACATGGCTAACGAAAGGCTACAAGATATGTCCAAATTCGAACGGAAGTTCATCAGCCGGCTGAACATAAATGCTACCCTACATATGATTTCCCAACGAGAAACCTCGATGTTTGTCTATTTCAGGACTGACGAGCAACCTTATCGTGCTGTTCTACTCGACTGCATAGCGTAGTACCCTTCGGCCTTATAGGCTATAATTTTGCTAAGCATCCTGCAGCGATGATTCGGCTTTCCAAAAACACCTCCGGTCAATAACATATACCCCTGATGCTGCTGCCGCCAATCCCGAGCCGGTAGCAGTGGAATACCACGCTACGGCGGTACAAATACTAAGCTACAAGACCGTTCAATCAGGATGCCTGCAAAGGGGCATGGCAGCCCCGGTCGACTTTTTTGAACACGTCGAGACCGGAGAACTAGTCATATACCTTGCCCCGGATGAAGTGACAGGGGCGGAACACAAAGTGTACATATACTGTGAGCTCTTTCCCAGAGGCCGGTGGAGCCCAGTTAACGCGAAGCAGTCACCTACGACACGGCAGTAGAAGAAGTAGAGGGTATACCCCGCCGGGCGCTAATAAAAGACGTCAGAGGATGCAGTACACGGGGGGAGTCAATAACCGGGAACGTTGAAATAAGGTTTTCCCGGCCAGGAGGTAAACCCCTCGCCCTCACACTCGCCGCCAATGATATGCCAAACTAGACAATCTCCCAGCGGCGAAAAACTTCCGTACAAAGGTGGAAGAAATGACGCAAGAGCTATACATCCAAACCCTCCTCCGCCCACTTGCCCACGAACGGGTCCTGCGACAGATGTACGTGGGCGACGTAGTAATCTCCTCACGTAGCATCCTTGACGCGGAAGTCATCTTCACCGAAGACGAAGCGCCACCAGCCGCGAACCGAAAACGAATACTAATCCGTAGCCTCAGTGGGAGTTGCTATTATTGTCAAGAAGGTACGTACAGCACTCATTTCATTTCTTTCCTTTTCTCTCGCTTCGCATTGGTGGCGTTCCGTGGCTGTAGGGCTGACGATTGTCGGGGAAACAAAAAAAAGTCCTGAGCGAAGGCCCGCGACCCGGGTCGATGGGACGGTTGAGCGAGGCTGTGATCGTTGAAATGACCGATCCACGACAACTGATGGTCTTTGGGTCTGGAGCTTATACACGGGGCCAGTTGGGGATTGAATTTGATATGCCTGCTCGTAAGTCCAGCCCCCCGTGCCAACGCCCCGTATGGTGTCACGGATATGATGAAGGAGGAGAGAGTCGAAACATTCTGTCCGATCCGGTCTGACTAAAATACGAATGAGGAATGAGTAGTGGAAGGGGAATTCTCCAATTCGCTCGTAAAATTCACAGGATGAGAGAGCAACCACGGGTCCGGTCGCAGTTCGGGGGACCAATTCATGGGATTTCTTGTACGAATATTAGTAGATGCTCCCTGAATTATCCCATTCCCATACTCGCAGTACTGTGATTCTCCCGTCCGGCCCCGCGAGCAGGGAGTGACCCCCGGCCCCCGGCGCCGGAACACGCGGACACCCAGGTTGGGCGTTAGCGCGGGTTAATCCCTTGGCGAAGCCTATTAACTGGATGTGCTAGGAAAATGCACAGTAATTAACATATTGAGCCTACCATTTAAACTCCAACATCTCCATGAAGCCTTGTGATATTTCCGCCCTCCCTCCCTTAACTGTAGAAGAATCACCTACTCCATCGTCTAGAAGGGCCAGACTTCCGATCGGTCTGATCGTGAAAATCCCTCGAGGATTGATGTTGAGCAGTATTCTCTTGTCGGCAGAGTACTCGGGCCACTCACGCCCCTCGATGCATAGGTGCTGGCAATCCCTACTCACCAGAGGAAGGGGCGGCACCAATACGAGTATGGTACCCGGGTACTCAGAGTACAATACTTCACAGCGTTCTAGAACGCGCAGCTAACACTTGAAAGAATCCACGCAGCAAAAGGCACTGCAGATGGCACCGGTCCGGGAATCTCCAATCCGTGGATTTCCTACGCTCCGGGCAGCCCTGAGCCTCCTTGGATAAATTGCTTAAGCTCTTGCGAGGGATTCCGTTGTGCCCGCAAGCAAGTAAGCAACATGCAGATGCCGGAAGAGGAGAGGTACGATAGAAAATGGAATGGCATTGTTGAGCGTGAGAACAAGTACAACACCTATCATACCAGTCCAAGTGCTTGTGCAGTTCAGTAGCCCCTGGTGCAGTGCTCGAGTAACTCGACCCCAATATGTCCCGAGTAGTACTGTATAAGCGCCTCCCGTCTGGCACCGGTCCACAGAATTCACACTGCAATCCCTCGGATACAATGCGGTAAACAAACCTATATTTACCTCACCCGCCAGCGAGTGCGAGGCAACATACCAGTATTTCCAATTCGTCTCTCGTACAGCCGCAAGGAGCGATAATCCCTCCCGAAATTGATGCAATCATGGCAATGCAGACACTCGCACCCCCACACTCACGCTTGATGATCACCTACGAGTACTAAGCCAAGCACACCACCAAACCCCGGGAGAGCAATTCGTAAACGGGGAACTCAGCTGGAAAATTGGTTCCGGGCGTGCGGTATGGTGCAGGCACCCGGCATCCCATTGGTTGACGCTTTGAGAGGCTCCGCTGTACTCGAGTACGGTACTCGAGTACAGTCTGGAAGCTCAACAGCGCAGCGCATAGCCAAGCAAAGCCGCTCGAGTAAGCTACAAATAATCGGCGGCGAATGTGGCTGGGGTAACGGGATGACGGCACGAGAACGGCTGAAGGAGCGCAGAGGGTACTGCACCCGGGTAGAGTATGCATGCGTGGATAGGTGGTTGGGATTCGGTATCACACAACCAATTTTTTTTTAATTTTTTTTAATGACCTTGTGGCAATGCCTCGGAAGGGCGGAAGGGGGGGAAGACGTACGCGTCCTCTTCACCAGCCACAGAACACAACAACACAGGTGTGGGTAGCCTCGTCCGAATTCGTGCGTCGGGGTTGAGTTTGGGGCTAGCAGGGATGGGTGGGCTAACTTACCTGTTCAACTGTGAGCATTCGAGCGCTGCCCCGCCTCACTGCTCTGGCTTGCTAACTAGAGTTCAAGACAGGATGGAAGGGACGGGGTTGGCATGGCCTGGCTTGTCTTCGGGGATGGGGATTGCCGTAAACAAAGTGTGGGCCGGAGGGAAAGGAAAGAGGTTTCCCTCAATGCCTTTATTATAAAGTGGCCCCCTATCTGCATCGCTTGTGGTCTCTCTTGAATTTTCCCTTCATTCCTTCACACACACTCGCTATCGACAGTATCATACCTTTTTCCCGTCCATCTCTCATATCGACAAACACTCACTCGAATTCCTTCGGTCCAATTCCACCACTCCAATCATGCAATTCAAATTTCTCTTCGCTGCTTTGCTGACCGCTAGCGCTGCTAGTGCCGCTGAGTACGTTCCTTCTTCCCTCTTCACATGGTTGTGTCGAAGGCACGATAGCTAATAATCACCTCCAGTGTCACCGATATCAACAACCGCGTCACCTCCCTCGCCGGTGCCGCTACCAACGCGGTTAACAGTATCAACTCGGGGGTCACTCAGATCACTGGAGCACCCTCGTCCATCCGTTCAAGCGTCGAGTCCCTCGCTTCGAGCCTCACCTCGGGGGCTGGTTCCCGTGTCTCCAGCCTTCGCTCGGAGATCACCAGCGTAGCCGGGGACGTCACCAGCAAGGCTGGATCAATAATCTCGAAGGTGGAAAGCGACCTGAGCCGGTACCAGACCTACAGCGGGTACTCCTCCTTCACGTCCGGCTTCAAGAGTGTCATCACCGCTGGACCCTCCGCCGTTAGCAGTTACGTCGCCAATCTCCCGTCCAATTTCGACTCGTCCGCTCGCTCTGAGTTTGCCTCCGCCCTGAATAGCGCTGCGGCCGAGGTCACGTCTGGTTCCAGCGGTGCCGGGTCTACCTCGGGCGGAACCGGATCTAGCAGTGGTACTTCTTCCAATGCTGCTGGGAAGAATACCCTGGTCGGGAGTGTCCTTGGTGCTGCGGGTGTCCTTGCTGTTGCTTTGGCCCTGTAAAAAACGAGAACGAACATATAAACAATTGTTTTAGCGGTGCAGTACTGTACAAGGGTTGGGGCCCGACCGTCGTGGGCTTTATCTGGTGGTCTTCCTATGGTGTTTGTCTATTTATTTCCTTGTCATTTTTGTAGAAAGTCTTTTACTTAATCCTTCTCCCTCACTAAGCAATACAAACCTTTTTTTCCCCTTCCCACCACTTTTACTTTCACAGTTCTGCTCCAAGAGCCAGAGTACTCGTACAAGTACAACTGCACTTATCGGCATTCGGGGCATGTTTTCCCTCCAATCTCGGGGGAGGGCGCACGATCCACGATCGGCCAACGGCTGAAAAAAGCAAAGCAATGGAAAAAGAAAGTGTAAGGACTAGCAATCTTACTGGGTTCGCAGGGGTTATCTTTGTAAGGCTTGTCCGCATTTACTCAGTGGGGGCCATTACGCATCGGAAAATCGGCAACGGGACGGTGGCAATGCAAATTAGGGGTTACCGGTACCGGTATTCGATCGGAGAATTATGTTCGGACAGAAACACCATGATAGAAGTCAAAACCCGGGCCGGTTTCTCTGGTGTAGCACTCGATTGAACAAGCGAGAATCGGAGGTTTGGATCACTATCGTGGGGCTCCTTCTGATTCCCATTCACGCCTTCTATCTCTTCTATCTCTTATTGAGGCGTTCTAGGGATATCCTTGTTTTTTATCCCCGTTTTCCTTGTCCCATCCACCGCAGTTGTTTGGTAAGGGTACGATAGACGATGGATGGCAGCCTTTCCCCAATTTCCAGTGACCTCCCCGGGTGCTGGTTTCTCCATTCCCTTGCCGGTGCGGGTGAGTAAAAATATGGCCCTAGAAGTCGGTATAGATCCGGTGCGGGGCCCCCACAATGGACCCTCCCCAGGCACGAATCCAACATGTGCCGTGACGGACCCAACAAGGGATAAAGGTTTTATGCAAAACCATCTAAAATAATACCATCTTTAATCCTATTCACTCCATATTTCGATAAAATAAAGTGAGCACCCATACAAACCGGTTCCGAGGCGATGGATTTTTCTGAGCGCCGACCGCCCTTGCGAAGCGGGACGAAAGAGTGTGGGCAAGGTGGTCGGCTTTTTTGTGTCCGGCCAGTGAGGACATGGTGTGAAGCAACGTGATGACCGATAGGAATTTCACAGCCACTGCCCCTCCAGACAGGGTCTTTGAGAGGGTGTGTTTCGCCATCCGCAAGGACTGTGATGGTCCAGGTGGAAGTAATCTCGGAATTACCCTGGACAAGGGTGCGCCCTCAAGCAGCGACTCGCACTGTGGGAAGCGGCGAGAGCGGTGCCGTGATTGCCGGTATGATTGCGGGAGTGTATGATACGGCGACGGAATTATGCAGGGTGATTGAAATTCCCCTCATTTGATCCCGGCAGGGGTAGAGAGATCGTAGCGAATTCAGGTGTTTGTTGGGTCAAATAGGAAAAGGAAGAAAATAATTCCAAGAGTGTCAATAACAAAGCCCTCATGACACCACTTTTCTCTTGTGCCCAAGCGCTTGTGGTAATTGGGCAGGAAGGAAGTGAGGTTTGGTTCTTCGCATGGCTGCACCCATCCATCGCGATCCGCGTATCGGCCTGCCGCTAGCCGGGCCCCTCGAGGTCGCATACCGTACGAGTACTTGCCTGCGAAACATGGGCACAGTGCTGCTGCGAGTTCTTCATTCGAACAATTACCATTGGGGATATTTGGAATGGTGAGGATTACCCGCATATGCTGAGTCAGGACACAAATCGCTGGTAGCACGTGGAAGTGAGTGCGTTTTACATGCAAAACAGCCATGCTCACAACATTATAGCACCACCTCCGTTCAATCAACAAAACCCAACATTTCCTAAATATCCGAGAGAACCCCCCGGATTCTCTCTTCCTGGTTTTCACAAATAAGCATCTCTCTTTTTTTTTAAGATGTCGGTCGATCAAAGAGTGAAAGTAGCATCAAGTCTTGGCACCTTTTGGATAGAAAACGATGGTTTTGTCGCACTTTTCCAATCCCAACCGAATCATTCTAGTCGCCAAAACAATTATCTATCCCTGCTAGCCCCAACCCTCTGTGTATGAAAATTTGGCATAGTTCTGAAGCTTTGCACATGTATTTTTGTATCCATTGGGCAATCTAAGGAGGAGGCTCAGCCGCTTGAAGTCGGATACTTTTTGTGTGGTACGCTTACACCACCGGTGATTTCTGTCTCCAGCCTCGTGCTGGTGCTCGGGAGTAGTTGCGCCGAACGAGGCATTGAGAATTAGGGGCCCTATTGAGGTTAAGCGACTGTTCTCGGGTCCTTGAAAATTGGTAGGCAGGGCGTGGGCAGGGAAAATACCAGTACCATGTATCCGCTTTCTGGACGAGTACCGGTATTGTGGGGTTCGGCCAAGTTTGCCCAAAGAGGGGACCCCAGATACCGTACTATAACAAGCTCAGAAGGGCCCTTAACCTCAGGTATGCTACATTACCGGATACCGAAGACTGACCAGTCAGATAGACCCCTGTCAACCGCTTGCCACTCTACCGGTCCTTCGAATAAATTACGGGTAATACGGTAGCTGTGAGAGCTTGGATTCCCCCTAGAGTCCCAAACCGTGGCGGGCCGGCATCGACGAAAAAAATAATATTTGGGCAGAGAAGACACAAATTTCCTACCCAATTCCAGCATGACGTCATACCCGGCAACGCGCCGGAAAACACCAGGGCCGGGCACGCCCTCCCCCCGTCACCAAAAGGGCAGGAATCCATACCCACCATCCGAGTAGAGGCGGAGAAGCGCATCGCAGTGCATACGGATATATCACTCGACCGGGTAAAAAGCCAGTTCCCCCAACCCAACAAACTGCAAAGAAACGATAGATTGGGTCGAGAAATGTCTGATTCCGGAGCATGACTAAAACAGTCTTTACTGGGAGTGCTTCAGGCCTCCTTGCTCGTCTTGCTAACCCTGGGGTATGGAGCCTTCGCAGCCAGGCTGGGCCTTGTGCACTCCGGGGTCGCGGGAGACGTGACCGGTCTATGCGTGAAGATATTCCTGCCAGCATTGGGCGACAATTGACGTTGAAGGGTGTGGGGAGTTATGAGTCGATTTTTAGTACGATACCTCACCCTTCCTCCTTTTCCTGTCCCGAATCGACACCCTGAAATATCTCCACGGGTAGTTTGCTAATACCGAGTGGCGAGTCCACAGTCTGGGGAATGGCACACACGGTCGCCTCCATAGTTCTTGGCGCCTTCGGGAAAAAAGTCATGAACTTGCCGGACTGGATAGTTCCCGCCGTTGTACCCAATAATACTGCTTCTCTATAAACTCTCTAGTGTCAAACACGCTCATGTTCGCTCTTGGACCGAAGTTGATGGACAAGGCTGGCCCCGGAGCCGCCGGTGACGGGGATACCGAAGCTCGGGGCGATCAGGAAACCGACCGAGAATACTTCGCTGTTACCGGCTTTGGTGGGGGTTAGGGTGCGCAGCATGCAGGCCTCCGGCCACAAGCAGTTCGCCGAGCTCCCGAAACGAGTCCAGAACATGATCCCGTTTGCAGGGGATATGGTTAACCCGCCGTTGGTGGGTTCGATTATGGCCGCATTCATCGGGTTGATCCCGCTTTTACATAAAGCCTTTTTCGCAGACACAGAGGACGGCGGAATATTCCGTGCTTGGTTGACCAGTTCTGTCTCAAATATCGGAGACCTGTTCACTGCTTTACAGATGTTTGTCGTCGGTAGTCATTGTGCACCAGTATTGATCCTGAGCATGAAGTTGGTGAGATGCCCAACCGCGGGATTGCATTTGTCTAGGGGGTTAGGTTTTTGTTTTGGCCTGCGCGAGTTTGGTTCCTTTTCTGCTGCTTGTTCCTTGGATGGAGGAATTAACTGAGAGGACTGGTATCATACCATAGCGTTGCCATACCGACGGTGTACTACCTCGCAAAGAAAAAATTCCTGGGTCACGACCCGATGGCCTGGCTTGACATGATACCTATGCCTGTTGGACAGTTCCGTAATGATGATGAGTTCATTGGTGGAACTAAATGGGAATTCGGCGAAGGATAGAATGGCGGTTGCTAGGTTTTTGACTGTATGTTTTTCGTTATCTCGGCTTGTTTAATATGGGGGCTAATGCTGATAGGTGTTATACGCCATCAGCCCGGTAATATGCTTCATGGTGGTTGGTTCCCTCAAGACTTCGGATATGGCGACTAAGGTGTGAAGTAACGTCGTGTGGCGCAGTGCAAGCGGAGTCGGTGCTTGGTTTTGCTTGCTTGCTTATAGAAGGGCTTGCTGCTTGGATCTCGTTTGGAAACCTGCGTACCATGTATTCAGTCGGGAATGGTATATAGCATACGATGCGCAGCGGCGGAGACTGAACAGACATGGGGGATTCGAGGATTGTCACTCAACTGGGAAGTAAGCCGAGTGGCTTGAAAAGTGACCTCGGGTTTTGTCATTTTAATGATCTAGGGGCGGCGGCGAGCACAGTTAGGGAAAGGAGAGTGGGGGTATTGGCGTAGGAGAGAAATGGCCGAGTGTGAGTGTGTAATTGGGTAGTGGTGTACGTATCCATCATCGCCGGGCTCTCCCAGTGGAATTCTTAGGAAGCACCTAAGTGTCTGATGAATCAGCAGTGCTTTCCACTAGTGCCCCAAAGATTTCCCACATTTTGGTCAGATCCCTCACAAATACCATTCGGCGTACTGGACCCTTCTTCCTGTTGGAGGAGCAAACCTCACAAGCAACACTATGATCTGCGGGTGAGATAATGGTACCCATCAGAAGATATGCTTTCACCAACCGCAAGATGACACTATCCGATCTTATAGAATACGGTGCCTCGCCGAGAATATCCTGTGTGGTATCGTGCTTTATAAGACCCGAGTTCGCTTCGGTCCTCACATATCCGGACATGCTTGTCCCGGAGAATGAACAAATATTTCATCGTGGGAATTGATTGAGGGTTTCCCATAAAAGAGAACGAATAACTCACGCTGTGTAACCTGAGAAATGCCGCCATGAAGGGGGGAACCTACTTGAATCCCCCCCCGCCAACCGGCCCTTATAGTCCCCTATCCTTCACCTTTGGAAACCGGGGAAGGCTATTGTGACAGAGAGTGATTATGTAGTTGCCCCAGTGCCAATGTGAAGGGAAGGTTTTCCCTGCCATTTTTGACGGGGCCTACAACGACACTATTTGTAGCTCTCAATTGATTGTGTGCACGGTAATTTTGTTGTGTTGACGGTCAGTTCCACCCATAAGAATTCCGTGACGGGGTGGGGTAATCTGCGTAACAGGTTTTTTGGGGTTCTGGTGGTGACATCAATTTAGTTCTCCGCCAGAGCATGTTGCAGATTTGGGGGTCGTCAGGGGTGTCGCGCTATAACATGGGCGATGTTGGTATCATAATATTATTATGATGGAATTTCGGGAGAATGAAAATGGAATCTCGCCGAATGATATTCCATGATTCGGCGAAAGTCAGGGCAGGCTCCCAATTTATAGTTGATATCAGACTAGGTCAGGTCTTGTACTATTTCCCCGGGGGCTAACACCCTATAAACTTGCGAGAAAGTCCTCTCGTGGTCCTGCTCCAAGTCTCATAGACACAACAAACACTGACGCTCTACCACCCTTACCATCACAATCATCCTACCCACCTGAAAAATATTCACACCAAAGCACAACGCAACCAACAATACAAACGAAATGTCTATCCCAAAAATCGCCTTCCTCATTCTCATGCTCGTGGGGCTTGTCCTCTCCCTCCCACCCGCCGAGCCCACCTGGGACACCCCTGAAGCCATCGCCGCGCTTGCCATCCTCAACGATCCAACTCCCAAGCCCGTCGACCTGACCTTCATGCCCGAACTCGCCGAGCACAATATCACCGCGCAAACCTCCTACATCTGCGATACAACCACCGGCTCCCCGAGAGTCGCGGACCTCCGCCAGGTCGCGACAAACCTTCGGGACAAGTATGGCGACGCAATGTGTCGCCAGGAGAACTTTGGTGGGAGCAGGTGCACTCAACTCCTTGCTTACGGGAATGCCGCCGAGAGCATGTGTGGGGAACCGCTGAGGTGGGTTCCTTGCAGGACCGCTGCCTGGCTTGGGTTCTGGATCGCGGATCATTGCGAATGGAATGGGTTGGTTGGGGGCAGGTTCTGGTTCGATGATAGCCCACCGAGTAGGATTGCCGTTCATAAGAGATTTTGAAGGAGTCGTGGGTGGTTCGTGGAGAGGGAGTTTGTGTGGGGGATGCGGCTAGATGACTTTTTCTTTTGTGGATATAAATCATGATACTCTTTCCCCACATTTGGTCTTGAATTTGCACTTGTAGCGATGCTTGAATCCTCCGAAACTCTGATGGGTTTAGTAGATCCTGAGATGGAGTGCAGGTGCTCCCCTAGTTTTCCCCACTAAAAAAACTGAACTGGAAGTAATTGCGTTTGGTGAGACAGATCAGGATTCACTGCTACTACGTGTTTGGAATTGGACGGGAAGTGATGCCTAGAGCGAGGTCATTTAGAGTTTCACAGCTAATTGTGGTCTCGCAAAGTAGAGATTCATTCTGGGTTCGAATCGCATTTGTTGATTCAGGGACAAGTAACTATTGATGAAGATCTGAAACAAATGAAAAGCGATTAGCTATAACAACTGACTTGTGACACATGACCGGCCTAAATGCTGCACGGAGGAGAATTTCTTGAGCCGGATAACTTAGAAGTTGGGCGGGAGGGCGATTTCAACTCCGGAGAGACACAATGGTCATGGGGCTGTGGCGGCGATGAAAAATTGACATTGTAGTGAATGAAGAGTAGATTCCTAGAATTGTGCACAAGTCTTGGCGTCGTTATCTTGTGGGTATCCCATCTTGGAGTATGCGTCAGGGCGCCAACGGGCCAGGGCCGGGAAACATTGGAGAAGGCACAAGAGCTGTGAATCTCCTTTCCGCCACTGCGCCATTATTAAGTGGTCTGTTTCTGGGATCACCAACTCTCATCCGTTTTATTACCCTTTGGAATAGAGTTCCTGAGACGCGAGCAGCTTCGTAACCATCAGAACGGAGACCTTTTCGATCCGTAGCAACTGAAAGGCTAATATCCTGCTGGGCCTCGGCGTTCGCCTCAAACTCTGGACTCACCGAGAGGCTTATAGCCAAGGATATTATTACTTTTCCTAATTGTTTTGCTGCCTGTACGACGGCCCAACAGCATGATTATCCAGCCTGTGGTGTAAAACTTAGATACTAATACCCTCGTGGATGAAACGTGACTAGCGCCTGTGGTGCAGCGCAGTGGGTACCTAGGCCTAGTCATTAGTTGCCTGCCCCACCTCAATGTGGGATTGGGGCCCCCGGAACTGAATATCTTTGGGAGGGAAGTGAGGTGAAGGTATAGTACCAGATTCTGTGGGAGCTGTTGGTGGGCTCTCTCTACATGTATATACATGCACTCGAGGCATCATCTCTGAGCACCATACATAAACCACGGAAGTGAGGAAAGATTGGAGTTTTGTTGTGTAGGCGGCGCGCAACATGCACTGGTAAATTTTAGTGCCACGCGATGAGTGGGGGTTCTGCGGACACTTGGGGAATGGGTAAGAGGGCTGGTTTTTTCCTATCTTATGGGGCCAGTGGTGCTTTAGAAAGGAGGGCGAGCCGGGTTTTTTTTGACTATTTTCGTGATATAGCATGGAATATGAAATAAATAAGGTTCAGAGGTAGAATTTAATCAGAGGGTACCCAATTACTGTCTGGAAGTTTGAACAGCCCAGTACCCTTCTGCAAGAATCCAGTTAATACTATGTCGGTTGGTCAAATAGAAGACCCCCCCTCCCCCACCCCTCCCTAAACACTCGCAGAAAATACTTGCGCTGTACCGTCACCTCCTCTACAGAAAGCATTCACAGAGCACAAGTCAAAACAAACACTGCCAACAAAACAAACAGGATGCTCACCTCTAAAATCGCCTTCCTCATCTTCATGCTTACGGGGCTTGTCCTCTCCCTCCCATCCGCCGAGCTCACCTGGGACACCCCTGAAGCCATCGCCGCGCTTGCCATCCTCAACGATCCAACTCCCAAGCCCGTCGACCTGACCTTCATGCCCGAACTCGCCGAGCACAATATCACCGCGCAAACCTCCTACATCTGCGATACAACCACCGGCTCTCCGAGAGTCGCGGACCTCCGCCAGGTCGCGACAAACCTTCGGGACAAGTATGGCGACGCAATGTGTCGCCAGGAGAACTTTGGTGGGAGCAGGTGCACTCAACTCCTTGCTTATGGGAATGCCGCCGAGAGTATGTGTGGGGAACCGCTGAGGTGGGTTCCTTGCAGGACTGCTGCCTGGATTGGGTTCTGGATCGCGGATCATTGCGAATGGAATGGGTTGGTTGGGGGCAGGTTCTGGTTCGATGATAGTCCGCCGAGTAGGATTGCAGTGCATAAGAGATTTTGAAGAGGATGGATGTGAAGAGATCAGGGGTAGCGAGTAGAGATGGAGCGGAGGATGTGGGGTGGATGGCCTCTTCTTTTCTTTTGTGGACATAGATTACGAAACCCTTTACAAAACCTAAAATCCGGACACTAAGTTAGATGATGATTCGGTAATTTCAGGGTGGTATGATACGTTCAGCAGACTTTCCTAAAGCCAGCCAACGAACACTCGCTGGGGGTGACAGATTCAGGCTAAGCTCAGAAGCATGCCTCCATTCCCGGGAGGCCTAAGTTCTAACTAGAGAACATTTACCATCAGACCCTAGAAATCTCATTACCTTGAGAGACATAGCTGGATCTTATAAAGATTCCCTCTATCCCAAACAATGGCTTCACGGTTCTAGGTCGAGTATAGCTACTAATGGAACCGTATTTCTTCTACCTACTCTGTTGATTGCTTCGGAAACTAACAGGCGGCAGTTAGCGTGTCTCCTGAGCCCACCGTGCCCACCCATGATTATCTGCACCTCGTATACTAATTTTTTTTTTTCCTTCAAAATTGCTAGCCAGGCACACCAGGCCAATTTTCAAGCTGATCAGACTATTCTGCTAGCACGGCTACAGTAGATCGCAAATAAAGAAGATGATCCACTTTTTCAAAAAAAAAAAAAAAAAGTCAATGTCTAGGGTAGAAACAGATATGTACTAGTAATATTGGACTTTGAAAAGTTATGTTGGATATGATAGGATGGTTAAATATTAGCTAGGTTGGAAACTCCAAGTGCTTCCCAGTGATGCTAACAATAAGCTGCTGTCCCCCCGGGGCCATTGCTACTGCTCGGCACCGCAACCTCACCAACACACCTACCCTTATAATATCTACTCACTCCTCTCTCCACGGTATCGGTTTCCTCCACCCACCAAACCAGCACCGCGGACCCCCTCTCGCCATGTCCAATCTCAAAACTCCAGGGGAATCGGATGCCAGTCCCACGTTTCCGCCGCCACCAGGGGCCCCAGCAACATAAGACTCACCTCACGACGCAAGATTTCAAAACTCCGGGAGACCGGCACCTGCCCCATATTACACAACCCCACTTATCCGCCGAGGTCCTCTAGCATCTGCTAGAAGTCGTCTCAGGTCCTAACTCGCATGCCAACAAGCACTACACCACAAGAATTCATCGGCAATGGAAATCAGCGCGCAAGGGGCGCATCGGGATTCTAAAACTCCTCAACGAGTGGGGTGGCATAGACATCAATTCCGTCGGCACTTGCCCTACTCTATGTGCACTACGGGGCGGCCAAGCCGGCGCCAGCTTGTTCGGTATGAAAATGTTGTTTGGCCACGCTGAGCCGTGCTGCTGCGGAGAGTGCACACGAGTTAGGATGATAGGAGGGTAGATGAGTATCTCTGAGACTCACGAAGGGTCACTACATTGCGGTGCATATCCTGTACGGATACCTGGTGTTGTGGAGATGGTGTTACCGGCCGAGAGGGCTATCTTAAGCATCCTGAATCACTTCGGGCTCACAGCCATGGCGTTTACTGGAAGAGAGGGCAGCGCAGATGCCGTGCCCCTGCTCATGGCTGACCGAAGGAGTGATGTGATTTTCGCGACTATTTTGGTAGAATAGCTAATTATTCTAGGACCTACTGGCGGATCCGGGGGCTAAGATCGGTATCGGGGATTGTCGTGGGGATGGGTATTGGAGATACGGCCCGGGTGTTGTGGCGGGGTGAGGGGATTGAGGCCATTCTGTGGATGAATAGGGGAAGTGCTCCGCTCTCCGGACCGATTGTGGGCTCTATATGGCCGTGATACTAATGTTTGGGGATGGGAGGGTTGGTATTTTTTAACTTGGGAAATGTGGGGTGCGCGTTTATTCACAGCACGGAGTTTACAAGCAATAGTCGGATAATTGGGCTATTGGGGGGGCAAAGGGGGCTAAGAAGTACCGCAGGGGGGGATGATAATATCACAGTGAGCAAACCAGCCCGTGGTTTAAAGTTTTGGGGCACAAGGGTCGTACCCGCTGAACAAAATTTTAAGTAAAGCGCAAAAGACAAAGGAGAGGCTGCAAAATTGGGCATAACAGCCTAACTCGGGTTGGAAGTATTTTGTTAGACGGCGCCACAACAACCTAGCTACCTATTATAGCGGTAGAAGTACTTGAAGCTGTTATACCGCATTATCTGGTCATATCCGCAATGGCGCTAGAGTGCGGGGAAACCACGTGGGTAGAAAGTGAGGGGGGTGACTAAATAGGCGAGTATCAAAACGAAAGCAAGCCATCTTTTGTACTAATGAGAAAAAAACTATGAAACTAGAGAAACTTAACAGGAATAACAAAGTTCATATACAGAAATAAGCTTAATCACGATCAACAAATTCTATAGCAGTATCATCTGTATTCAGATCCGCCATATACCTCTCTGCAGAACCAACAATCTCAGTCTCCTCCTCCTCCCTTCCGGATCCCACATGCCAGTCTCCAACTTTAAGTAAGGAAGAGTCAATTCCCTTAATCGAAAGCTCTGAATCTAGGGTGCCATCGATCGGAAGAGTGAGACCAAGCTTTCGGAATGTCGTAACAATAAGGTTTGAGTATTTTGTTGAAAAGCGCTCTCACGCTTCCCCTACAGCCCAAGTGACCAGGACTCGACATTCTGCAATGGCCTTCATGTTGGATCTGGGGAGTTCGCGGAGGTTTAAGTTATAATCGTGTTCATAGATATCGAGTGCATCATCTAGAATATTCCGGAGAATATCTTTTAGTGGCTTGTTAACTGCGACATCGAGTGGCTGCACAAGGCAAGTACAGCCAGCTGGGACAAGGGAGGGTGTAATGTGATGACTCCGGAGACAGTCAAGGACTTCTCTTTTCGTATGGAATTTCGCAACATCGAGGACGAGGAGCTGGGGACCATTCGGGAGTGCTGGTGCTAACTGGTGATTGATCCAGTCAATGAGGATATCGGCATTGCAGTAGGCGGTCTCATTCCATTTCGTGGTAATACGGGGGTCATATCTTGCGGTTTCTGCTTCTCGTTTTGCTTTTAGGATCTGACTTCGGGGTCCCTCGTACTTTTCCTTTCCTTTGAAAATAAGGAGAGGCTTTATATGCGGCTCACCACTACCAAAAACAGCTAAAACTAAGGTTGCCTGTCTTTTATCCCAACCACTACAGGTTGCTCGAACCTGAACCGAGTGACTACCGTTACTTGCATAGGTTTGGCCATCGAGGTACTCGAATGGAAGTGGTGTTTCATTCATATTAACGATACTGTTTAGCAAATACCGACCAACCTCCTGCTGTTCGTCACCCATTGCTAGCCGGACCTGAGAATTTCGACGATTAAATCGCAGCCATAAGAGAATTACCGCAAGGTAATCATTCGGAATCTTTTGTGACTTATTGGTCGTGAATCGAAGACTAATTGAGTGTCTGGAGAGAAAACCAGAAAACCAGCCATCCGAAAACCGAAACTCGTCCAGCTCTGAGTCTGGATAGCACTCATGAAAAACCTCCTTAGCTTGTCACTCAAGCCAACTTCTTCTTACTGCTTTTCTCTCATTTCGGCGTTGAGCATAACGCTTATAAAGGCCATCTTCCAACTGTGGCCACCTGCAATGTCGGACTTGAGACCTGTTCACATGCTCTTCCTTCTTGCTTTCTAAGATATTCTTTGTATTCAATCGCCAATCGCGGATGGTTGAAATCGGGACCAAAAATCGCTCTGCCACCTCACGGAGAAATGGTCACCTTGCTCCTCCTTCATTCATCCTATCATCAGTAGGAATGCTCTCTCGACTCCACCAATTCAGTACCATTATCTTAAATTCTCGGGTGTATGAGCGCTTTATTTGCTTTCGTGGATTGCTGAAATATCCCATATTCAGGGACCGATTCTCCAGGCTTCTCGCTATCGTTCCGGGTCTGTTGGAAAGGAAAGCTCCTGGAGTTGATACTGGGTTGTGCGGGGTAGACTGAGCCAATTCACTGGCCGTGGGCTGGCGCCGTATTGCCATGAGATGATCTATTGCTGCATCTCTATCCTCGCCTTCCTCCTCCGTTGGAATCGGGTTCAGCAAGAGTTGTATATCCATCCTTCTAGTAACAAGAAGACCACTTCTCCCACGATTTACGAAACTTGATTTATCCTGGACAGCATTGGCCTTTTATTTCTTATGTTCACACAAAGGCATATGACATACAATGCTTTTAGAAATCATAACGTTGAATTCTTAGTGTTTCTAGTGGACCCTTCACTGATAAGCTGCCGGGCAACCGAGTGGCAAGCTCGCTTATTTATCCTTTCTAATTCTAGGTCCCTCTAGTGCCATTGCGGATATGACCAGATAATGCGGTATTATAGTAGACGATACGGATAGAAGCATACCACCGCTTTCAGCCCCGTAAGCGACAATTCTATTTGTCGAGTGAAAGAAATTATCGCACGCGACAGGTTCTGTCTCAACTGGTTCTCGTCACTGCATCGCATAGAGTATTCACCCAATTGGGCACTTGGTTGCCACGGGCCAACTCCGGGAAGGTCTTGCACTTGGCTAGCGGGGCTAGCTCCGGGCTGGACAAAGTGCACGGGATTTCGCGTTTCTAAAGTGATGTTCCGTTGCTGTATCATACAGTAGTACAGTATGGTAATAATGGAACCGCTTCCGAGAGACAGGGCTACCTTTTCATGCTGGTGAGACTTTTGTTGATTGCGGGTTGTATTCATAATATTGCACGCTAAGTGCGAACTCTTACGTTCTGTTGAAACGACCGATTTATTGATTCGAAGGAGAGGTGGGATATTCCCAACTATTATACAGAAAAGAACCAGCCACTGTTTGATCAAGCCCACGCGGCTTCACTTGCCGCCTCACCCGCCACATTATCGGTTGACAAGCTGTCCGGCATTTACTATCCCCAATATGGAAGGATGCTCCAACACGTTCTGAGGAGTTGGGGGGCGAGTGACTGGATGTGGCTGTGGCTGCAGTACAAAATTAAGGCTGGGCTGCAACGCTCAAGCCAGATTTCGGGGTCTAATTCCTTGTATGTTTGGAAAAGTGGGGAAGGCGACCATTCTACGTGGCTCCGGTACCCGGACGCTAGGTACTGTGGTGGTACAGACTACTACTATACAAGTCCAGCGACCGGAGCCACTTTGAATAAAAGTTGCTTGACTCTATTATTTGGTTGTAAATGTTTGGTCATATATTCTAGACTCTTACTTGTGCCGGTAGCGCTCCCCAACCTCCCTCTAGCGCAACCTTAAATCATTCATTGAATCATAATCCCATCACACACCCATTAGCTACTTTGCCGACCTGTAATCCAATCCTTCACCGCCTATCGCCGGTTAGCAACATCACCCTCCCAGGAACTCTTAGGCAAACAACAAACCTCATAATAAACCTTGACCCCCCACTTCCGCCCCCCCCCGCTAACCATCTCCTCCACAACTACCCCTTCATCAATTCGAACATCTCCAAGGAAAAACACAACTACCGCCGCCACCACCACTAGCGGTAATATAGCCAGGAACGCCCACCTAACCCCCTCCTTCACAGCTTCCCTAGCCTGCACCCCGAACGCCAATCCAGCACCTACCGCACCGCCCCCGCCCCCCTTTGAAAATTCCCCCCCGAACTCACCAAGTTTATTATTCAACACTGAGCCCATCACGGCCATTGCCACCGTTCCTCCAAACGGTTCAAAGAACTGTATTGTTCCGACGATAACGGCAAGGTGTGCCGGCTTCTTGGCGATGGCATGGAGTGGGACGGGCATGAATGATATTCCGTTGCCGAAGCCGCTGAGGGCCATCATACCGTATATTAGGGGTTTGTTACGGGATCTCAGGGCCGAGGTTAGGACTCCGATGGATATCGGGAAGGCGAGGTGGCCAAGCAGGAGAGGTGGGAAGGTGGTGCGGGGGCTGACGTTGCAGAGGTACATTGCCGAGTAGGCACCCGCTGAAGCGTTGGGATGTTAGTCGGGATGGTGAGAGGTGGCAGGAGGGAGTCATACCGCCTATGCCTGGGAGGTAAAAGAGCAATTGCAAGCCAGCTTTGCTAGCAGAATCCTGCTCCACAATGGTAAAGTAGACACTGATAAAGTAGAACATTGCGAATAGGGCTACCCATTGTTAGCTCTCTTACAGGATTAGCATATAAGGGCCAAGACTTTACCAGCCCCCTCCACGAAATTCAAAAAAGCCAAAATGACAATATCCTTCTCATAAAACAGATGGACCGGGATCATAGCTTGCTTCCCGGGCACCCGTACCTTTTTCTCCAACCACCGTCCCGGCTCCATTAAGTACTCTACCCAGACGAACGCCAGGAGCAACACTCCACCTACTACCAAGAGGATAGTGACCTGAGGAGAGTCCCAAGCGTACGTTGCCCCGCCCCATGTTAATGCAAGGATGATTGTAATGCAAGAAGCCAAGAAGAGGATTAACCCCGGCCAGTCTATCACCGATATTTTCTGCATAAATGTCCGTCTCGATAACTCCTCGCCGGTGTCCGAGTCGATATGGCGCTGGGATTTGACGAGTTCTGGCTTCAGAACAAAAAATACGGTAACGTGTGCCAGGAGGCAGATTGGTATTGAAAGACCGAAACACCAGCGCCAGTTTACCTACTTTTTTTTAGCAAGAATCCCCCTACGGAGCCCTCGATATCAACTCAGAAGAAGCTCACACATTTGTCAACTGGCTATTCAAATGTCAATATAACCCGATAATTTAAGTATGGCAGATGTCAGGAACTCACCCCCCAATAACCGGCCCAACAGAATAGCTACCGCCAGCGACCAGTGAAAATAAGGTATTCTGCAACGCGTTATCCTTCAAACTAACCTTGTCCGACAAAATCACCGTCATCATAACCCACAATCCTGCCGAACTCACCCCCGCGATAGCCCTGCCCACCAATAACATCTCGAAACTCTGGGCTCCAGCGCAAAGCGCGCTCCCTGCAAGCATTAAAAATATGACAAACTGCAGTGTGGCATGCCGGCCAAAGACATCACTGAGCTGGCCAAAAGCTGGAATAAATGCAGTGGAAGTAAGTGTAAAAGATGTCACTATCCAAGACTGCTGTGTGAGCTGGTCGAAGGAGGCTGCGATATGGGGCAGGGCTGTCGCGATTATCGTGGTGTCTAGAGCGTCGAGGAAGAACGGGAATATCAAGCCGGCCAGGAGCTTGGCGCGGTATTTCCATATTGCCCGTTTTTCGGCTTTTGTCAGGGGATGTTTCTCTCCGTTTGGGAGTGTCCCGGGGGGAGCGGGGTGGATCTGGATTGTGTCTTGACTCCGGCGCCGAGGGGGTGATTGAGCGGATTGGAGTTCTATCTCGTCTGGCGCTGCCGGATTCATTGCTGGCGCCGTATGCTTGTTCTGGCCTGGCGGTTCTTGGGAGAACCCGTAGTTCTTTTTATCCACATTGAAGTCTTAGCATTACGTTTATACCTAGAGATATTTTGTGTTACTTCGCATTTCTCGGGCCGAACCAACCCTTGGCTGGTGGTACTACCGTATTCTACCCGCAGCCTCGTATTCCCTGCCAAGAAAGGCGAAGCACCCCGCATACCGGTAGAATAGGTGGTCCACTCCCGCCACAAGTCCACCTCAGTAGGCGCACAGAAGGGAAATATACAAGTATGAAGTATGAAGGACAGGCCCCGCTCATCCGCCTTGCTTCCCTTTGATGTCCGGCATGATATCCCATGCTAGTCGCTCACGAATTGTAAATATCCCGGCAACAACTACTTGTAAAATAGTCTGATGGCTATTCCAACCTCTGTCCGTGGAAACGGGAAGAAATAGGGTAAAATGCTAAAGATTCTGCGAGACAGTACAGGTACTTTTACGTACAGTACTAATACCAAGCCTATCGTGCCCGAGGGAACTATCATGGTCTTACGTAATATACAACCCCACTCAGCATCTCATGCCTTAATGAACCCACATGATCTGTATTCCACAAAGGGTGACTTTGCCTGCAGGGCCAAGAATTAGGAGAAAAGTAATAACCCCTAACGATATTGTACAGTACTGTGCCTATCCGGTTTCCTGTATTCCTGCTAAAACGCTCATCCGCCGGGGGTGCTGATTCATGTCTGCCTTGCCGGTACGTCAGCCCCCTATAAAGCAATTGGGTACTCGAGCACTAGGGCGCAGCTAATAATGAGCGCATCTGATGACTCCAACTCGTTCCAAGGGAAGATCCTATTAACGCTGCTACTAATAAATACACCTGCACCGGCTCAATACGACAAGGCTCGCTCACTGAGGCGCAAACTGCCCAAACAGCCGCGATCTCCACGGGATTCCGGGAACAATGCCTTTGGATAAGGCGGTGAGTCCAGCCTCCAGGGATACGAAAGGGAAAAGAGGGCTCGTAGACCTCACGCGACATTCAAAAATCCGGTCAAAATCAACCAGCTTCGTGCTGTAGATATGCAGCCAAAAAAGTGGTTCCCCAAAGAAACTACCGCCTCTTGCGCCGCTAACTCTCATGCTGGTCTACAAGCGAAAGGTCCCTTCTATATAATAGAATCCACCGCCTGTCCGGGCAAGTGAGCTTTCTCCCAAGCCCTTGGGCTGCTTGACCTTCGGAATCCCCGATTTCTTGCCGTGTTGGCCCTACCCCTATGCTAGTATTGTTTCGTCCATTATGTTAATAGGAAGAGCAAGGGAGAAATCGTGAATTCTGGCCCCCGCATACAGGAGCCTGACATTGTCTCTTCCTTCGACAGTTCCGATAATATCTTCATAGCGTTGGCAAGGAAATAGGTGGTCGGAGCACTCCCTACCGCTTCCGGAGTAGCCCTGGCGTTGACCACGGTGAAGTGCGGCGGAATAATCTGTAACCTAGGCATGATATCATAGAATTCCTCTCGGTTTCTTACCCTACTACTGAAAAAACGCTCGAGCGGCGAGTATGTAGCATCCGTAGCCCCCGTGTACCATGCGGCCTCATAAACTATAGTTGGAGTTAGCGGTTGCAGCGTCATGCTCCCTTAGAGTCGTCGATGGTGTCCCCGCGATGGCAGATGCGACCTCTAGGATAGCCACGACGAATACGGGGAGCGGTGAGCGAGGAGATAACATACTGTAGTGGTCGCGCCGCCTGGTGCGGGGCTCTGGTGTTCGCACCAAAGTTTAGGTATTTGGGTTTGGGACACCCCCCGCTAGGACAAGATTGCATTGGAACAAAGTTTTTTCCCTCTGCTTCTTAGCCCTGTTTGTACGAGTACATTTCTCTTATCATACCGGGATTGGTAATCAAATGTTCTGTATTATGAATACCTTACTTGAGTTGCAGGTAGGGGAAAAAAGGCTAATCTAATATGTACTGTAAGCTTTTATCTGATTGTCCCCAAAAAATGTCTGATCTGATAAGCCATTGTCCTCTTATACCTCTTGAATACTCATCTTGAACATGGTTGTTGTCTATATCTTGAGAACTCATGTTGACTACCTGGATTTTCAGGACAACAACTTGGATCTTTCTCTTATTTATATGCCTGCTCTACCTCTACCCTTTGTACTCTTCTCTTCACCAACAATCCCACACCCTCATGTTCTGGCCCACACAAATAATACTCCTCAAAGTTGGACTGTGATACAAATCAAATCCCTAAAATCAGTAAAACAAAAGTCTGAAGCCATAAAATTAGGAAAAACAAAGTGTGACAAATGAAGAAAACTTCTATTAATATTATTGTTTCTTACTTTGCTGTTGCTATTGAGGGTAAACCAATTGACTACTATTACTAATTTTAAATACAAGTAAAAGCTCCTTAAAATCACCAGAAGGAATCTGCAAAGATCAAAACAGAAAATAACAGAGATCCAAGGAAATAACACTTGAGAAAAGAAGAAGGTATAAAGATTACTTGTCTTCCTTTATTGATGCTATTAAGAATAAACTAAATCACTAATACTGTTAATTTTAAATATAGAAAACAGCCTGGAAGCTACTAAAAGAAATATTAGAAAATAAAAACAAAAGTAAGATAGATCTACAGTAATCTATTCTTGCAAAAGTAGAAAGGTACAATAGTTTGATTCCTTATTTTGTTATTACTGTTGAGTATAAACTAGGTTACTAATATTATTGGTTTTGAGTATAAAAATTATCTTCAAAATTAGCTACAGAAATCTAAGAAAATCAAAAGAAAATATAAGGACATGTGGAGAGACCAAATCTGATAAAAAAAAGGTACAACATATTTGGTTCTTATTTTGCTATGGCATTGAAGGGTAAACAAACTGACTCTTGTTATTGATTTTGGATATAATAGAAAGCTTATGAACATTACCTGGAGAAATCTGTGAAGATAAAAACAAAAAACAAAAATACATAGAAATCAAACCTAATAAAGATAGGTATGAAGATTTTTATATCTTATTTTACTCTTGCTATTAAAGATAAACCAAGTTATTAATATTATTAATTTAGATATAAAAAAATATCTACCTACTGGAAGAAACCTTGGAAAATAGTATAAGAAACTAAAAATATCTGGAGAAATCAAACCTGATATAAGCAGAAGGTACAAGAGTTTTGTTTATTGTTTTGTAATTGCTGTTGAGTATAAACTAAGTTACTAATATTCTTGATTTTAGGTATAAAAGATATTCCTAAAATTAGTGACAAAAATCCCAGAAAATTACAGTAAAAATATGAAAATTTTAGAGAAATTAAAACTAACAAAACAGGTAAGCTAGAATATTATTGTTTCTTATTTTGTTATTGTTATTAAGGATAAAGCAAGTTAGTAATATTATAGATTTAAGATAAACTACAAATCATGATACAGTACTGTCCTACTTGCAGGCAGAATAAACCTAATGGAGATTTTAATCAAGATAAATATGGTAAACAATAGTAGATATGTTCTGATTACTTAGTAAGAAATTAGTTTTTCTTTATTAGTTTAATAATACCAGTATTTTAAACAAATAGCAGGATTCAAAATTATACCTTTAACAGTAAAATTTAAGAAAAAATGAGTGTTGGCTACTACCTTCAAAGCTGGAAGCCAGGATTCAACTGAGAATGGGGCTATATCAGTTTTATTGATTATTTTTAACTGGAGGTCTGGAAATAAAGACTAATTTCTTAATATACTACCAAGTGGATTGAAGTATAAAAGTATATTTAGATCAGAATAAATAGTTTATATTAAGAGTTTTCCAGTGGTTATAGAGTTAGGTTATAGTAGACTGAACTACTTCTATAGTTATTAGTATAGTTATCAGCTAAATATGTATTGAGAAAAATAAATAACTAATATTGTAACAGATAATTAAGAGAACAAATGGTAGTCTTGAGCATGTTAGCAGATAAGAGAAGAGTAAGATATTGTTTATCATGGCAGTGGTATACTATGGCTGACAAGTAGAATATATGTAGTAAGTTATTCTTCATATTTTAGGAATAAAAAACATTCTCATAAGTGGAACTAATTAAAACTTATAATATAACAGGTAAGAGATTAATAGTAGTAGTCTATACTAAGAGTTAGAGTTATAAGAGGGAACTTAGTAGTTCTAACAATAGAAGAGGCAGATACAGCAATAAGAGGAGTAGTAATAGTATCATCTGATGCTCATCTAGAAGCTTCTATTCTGGAAGTATCAGGACAAGTAAGATTGTTATCACAGTTAAATCATACTTTTATAGATTACAGAACTGAAATAGAAAGTCCATAATTTGGGAAGGATGAATATTAGATATCTAAGATGCAATAATATATACTGAGCTTCTCACTTACCATACAGAAAATTCTAGAATGGAATAGGAAGCTTTAAATCCTCCTACAAGCATGGTGATATCAAGATTGAGAGAATAAGAGAACTACTAGAGCTTCTAAATGACTTAAAAAAGGAAGCAGATACTCAGTCAAAACTATTCTGAAAGCAATTACATAGTTGAAATAGTTTCTTTACCTAAATATCTATTTAATACAATATGGATAATCAGCTAAATGAGTAATGTAGTATCTTATAGCTATTTCAGGTCCATGGTACTATATACTCTAGATTGAAATATTTGAAACCTCTAAGACCCAAGAATACCTTTTATTTATAAATCTACCTCTATGATTCAACCTATACTGTATAAGTAAGATCACCTCAGTACTAGAATTTAATACTTATCTAATTTGTAATATAATTATGATGCTTTAGGAACTATATCCATATATATAACTCTAACTAGATACAAAGTAAGAGATGTTTGTATAACTCATAAGTAGTACTATTTAGCCTTAATACAGGTTTTATTATTAAATAAACAGACTCTATTGCCTTTAGAAAATACTTCTAGATATACATACTTGAATAATATAGTATACACTAAAGTTTTTCTTTAATATTTATTTTATATCTTATACCTGTTTTTTGTTTCTATTTTCTAACTTCATATTTACCTTATTTGTTACTATATCTTTATTTACATAGTTAAATACATGGTGTATGGAATCTGTCAGTAGGTTCATTTCCACTATCTTTTATTATTTATGACCTGATATTCTTACCTCTGGTATTTTTTCTGTCATCTATGAATCTAACTACTCTAAGCCTCTGTTTTGCTTTACATACCAATTAGTACTTGAGTGAATAAAATATTTTAGGTTTCTGATTACCAGTATGAAATTCTCCTATAATATTATTGTATTTCTTCTATCCAAATCATACATAATACTAAACCTCTTATAATATTATTTAGTCCTCAGGTTCTTGCCTCCAATATTTTTGCAATCTTGTTGATAACTATATCTTTATGAAACTCGATCCAAGCTGCAACAGGCCTCGAGTATCGAGGGGGGGACTGCTAGTTTGATGTCCTGTATTATTTGTATCGGTATAACATTGGTGAGGGACTGTAAGTTATATAAAAGTTAATAAAAGTTGAATTTCAACATTCTCTATAAGGCAACAAAGAATCAATAACTGCCAGTAGCACCAATATTTAAAAGAGAGCTCCATGTAAAAACCAAAAGCTAAAAAAAACCAGTCCTGAAAAGCTGACAGGTCAGCATGCCCGGGACATTACGCGGCTGGCACTGACAAACAGCTGTTTTGGGGGGACCGGACACAGCTTGCTGACACCTAACTGTGAGATAGCCGCTGGTGATATTACTGAATGGACAACACTGAGTAACTCAAATGGTAAAGGGGCGCTTGTCCCGCCTGTCGTTCTCACCCTACTATTAAACAATTATTACTATTGTTGGTATGGCCCCCCGTGCTTACCGAGCGGATCCACCACTTCATTCAAGATTTCAGTTGCAACATCCTCAAGATCTGCGGCAAGAATCAAGAATTATATGTTCAAGTTGATAGATCCCTAAGTGAGTTGAAAGGCATTTCAAGTAGTCATCCTTCCGCTACCTGTCTAGACATATCCACTACTCTCTTCTATGTTCCTAATCTCAAAGACTATGCCCGAATCTTCCCGTTTACCCCCCCTCCAATAGTCCTAGTTCAGGGTGTAGAATGGACCTATTTGCCCTTCCAAGCAACAATTCAAACTTTCATTGTCGCTGAGAGAGTTCCGTGACAAAGCCCCTGCTGAGCGTCTTGAATATTTAGGGCTTTTTTTTTCGCTAGTCCCTCTTCAGAGCCATCTCAGGTATAAATTCTCTTCTCACCTTTCCTTCCCCTCACCATCTCCACCTTCCTCACAATCCTATCTGTTTCTATTGGTCCTCACCCACACTCTATTAACGGTAATTTCCCCACGTTATATCTTACTTCCATATTGTCCCATTTTGCTAACCGATATGTCTTCTACGAACAAGTTTTTTGTTTATCATGTCCAAAGTTTTCCGCTCTATTGAACCCGTTCTCCGGGGTCTTCACTTGGAGGCACTGGCTCAGAAAATGGTACCAGAAAACACCACCGCTAAGTACCTTATTGCGCTGTTGACTACCCACTCCGCCGGATTTCAGTGGGATCACATATTCTCCCTGATTGCCGGACTTCTCGGAGTCCTTTTCGTTTATATGGTCGTGAAGCTTGGTCTTCACCTTCAAAAGACCCGGAACGACACTCCATTGAAGGATGTTCCTGGTCCATGGCTTGCGTCTTGTTCCCCGCTCTATCGCTTCTGGTACGCCGTTGTGAAGGGGAACTTTCATAACGACTTGACCAACCTCCACCGCAAGTACGGTAATGTTGTTCGCATTGCTCCGAACGAGGTATCCATATGGGATCCTCTAGTCACCCGCGAGATATATGCGCATGGCGATAAAGGTTACCCAAAGTGTGATATGTAAGTTTATCGTTTCCTACTGCCCCGGCAACTTCTTACACCGCCTAGGTACGATATTGCCCTTCCAAATGGATATTTCAACCTTGCTGTCGAGCGTGATATCCAAACACACGCCGAAGGGCGCCGTGCAATTGCTAAAGATTACAGCATGACCGCAACCCTCACGGCGGAGGCCCATTTTGACAATGTTATTGGGGACTTTATACTAGCCCTTGACAGGAACTTTGCGCAGAGTGGGAGAGTTTGTGACTTTACTACTTGGAGCGAGTACTTCACCTACGATATGATCACCGATCTAGTTTTTGGGGAGGCATATGGGTTTTGCAGGACTGGAATTGACGTCGACGGGAGTCTCAAGGATTTGAGACAGATGTTGCTCCTGAGCCCCTTTTTGTAAGCAACGTGAGCTCCTATTCCGGCCAAGAGAGAGTGCTAATGAGATAGGTCTTACCTTCCCTGGATTTGGCCGATTACACAAAACCGGTGGGTTAAGGAGACTGGGATGAATCACTACGCTAGGGTTTGTCACACCCCGGTTGATTTCCTGTGATTGTGGGAGTGGGCAGGCTAAAAATGAAAATAGAACATCAAGGCGAAGATTTTGAAGCGATTGAACCATGGCAACGTTTCTGGTCGTCTCGATCTTTTGGACGGGTTGCTTAAATCGCGGTATAGAGATGGACATGCCCTACCCATGGGAGAGATTGTGTATGTTCACCAGTTCCCTTATTTTGAACCACTAGCTAATGTTTATTGCCCAGAAACCATGCCTACATCTTTATGTATTACACTTTCCCCCCATATGGTTATTCCTGGAACTAATGTTTCCAGTCTCGCCGCCCCGGACACCGCCTCGGTAGCCCTTCGGGCCCTGTTGATCAATCTTGTCCGCAACAGAGATGTCTACAATGCGGTCATGGATGAATTGACCGGCTTGAAGCTCTCCAACCCAGCAACCTGGAAGGAACTCGCCGACGCACCGCTCCTCCACGCAATTGTCAAAGAGACCCTCCGGCTTCACCCTCCCGCGGGCTTCAACCTCCCTCGGGCAGTCCCTGCCGGTGGTCGCACCATCTGCGGGTACTACCTTCCCGAGGGAACCACCGTTGGAATGAGTGCCTGGTGTGTCCATGCAAACGAGAATTTCTGGGGCAAGGATACCTTGGAATTCAAGCCGGAACGCTGGTTGGATCCTGAGAGTGCATTCAAGCTCGACCGCTACGGACTCAACTTCGGCCAGGGTGCTAGGGCGTGCTTGGGAAAGAACATCGCAATGGTTCAGCTTGTCAAGGTTTGTCTCTCTCGCGCACAGGGCGTTTTTTTTCTTTCCCCCTTCTTCCCTGGGGGATGATGGCTGATCATATTATTAAGGTTGCCGCGCAAATTCTTCTCAACTTTGAGTTTGAGCTCGTTGATGAACACAAGATTCGGGGATTATTCTTGCTCCTAGTTGTTCTTGATGGGGTCAAAGTCTCTTTCAAACGCAGGGTTGGTGGGCCGCTCGATGACACCGTTGAGATGGAGGGGGCCAAATTCTAGGCAATGGAAGGGCACTGGTGGGACGTCTAGTTCGTCAGACACCGGGGGCTTTGTGGATCGTGGTTATGCATATATATGGTTCTCGTGTTTTGTTATAAGAAGGGTGTAGAAGTTCCTGTATGTTACTTTTCACCTTCCGAAGGGGTTGGAAGTCTTTTGTGAGATTCTCTGTGGGATTCTCGGTATAGAGGGGGAGCTTTGTCGACAATAATCAAACAGGGATCTGCTCATGAAATACTGCCTTCAGTGATATATATTGAGGGCTTTCCACCCAGTCCAGGAGTGTTGCCTTAATAAACAGTAGTTAAGGGGCACCCCGAACTACAGACTGGGCAGCCAAGATATTCCCTTCCGGGAGGGGGGGGCAAACGAACCATAACCCATGATAACACAAGAAAACAAACTGTCTAAAGACATAGAAGACAAACCTCCAATAGAAAAGCATTGTCAGAGTAAAGGACAGCATCTATCATAGTATCCGACCCGAATATAGTAGTAAGCACACAGCCTACCAATAGTATCTCTCAACCAATCGGAGAATTTCCGACGAACCCTGTTGGCTCGAGCCAAATGTCAAAAGCTGCAAGGAGATTTTTATGCGTATGGCAATGGAGCCCAACGGCCAGTCAAACCTGTCATCTCCTAGAATTGAGAGGGAGGGTGCGGCACAAGAAGCTTAATTTGCCCCCGCAGCCCAATGCCCTGGGCCGCTGTCAGCGGGGCATACTGTGCAGCCACGCATGCTTGCACAACACCCTCCACCTCTCGACCCGCCAATCCCTTTCCCTTCCCTTCCCTTCCCTTCACTCCCTCCCTCCTTCCCTCTGAGCTTCCTCCCCACCCCTTCCTCTCCTCCCGCCCCCTCCCTTGAGCATAAGCGGCAAACAAACATTCATCGCTGGCAAACACGCAAACATTGACAGAGTGCCCTCCCCTTCCCCCCCCTCTCCCCCATCCACCTCCTTCCATATTTTCGGGCAAGCATCCTGACCCTTTCCTTCATTCCTACACCAGACAATCTAATCCCATCAAACATGGACCCAACCGCGAACCCCTCCGCTGAGCTCGAGTCTCCCGAGCGCGATGGGACAACCACCCACACCATGCCCCCATCCGACCAGCCCCCTCCCGACGTAACTGCTTCATCTTCTGCTCCTGCTCCCGCTCATCCTGCGAAATGTAGTTGCTTCTCCAATTTCCTCCTCTAGGCTCTCCCCGCGGAACGGATTGCTAATTGATCTTGTGGATATAGCCGGCAGCGCCCTTAACGAAAAATTGAAGAAGTTCTTCTCCCCCCACTTCCCCCCTTTGCTAGCAAAGATCAGGGGAAAGGGTAAAGAGAAGGAGAAGAACAAAGCCGCTGATCCTGCTACCGTGGGTGTACCCATGGCTCAAAGAGATGATCAGGAGGAAGCCCACGCTACGAAGAAGGGCTTGGATACTTCCCCCAAGAGTCTTCTCAGAAGGATGACTCGGAGCTCGAAAAAATAATTGGCAATATACGGGATAGTTTTCGAGTGCTGTAATTCTGGGGGTATGGATAATCGCTTACTTGGAGTAATCGGGGATGTGTTATGGAGGCCATTTTTGCTCTTTTCTCTCCCCTCTCTTTCTCTTTCTCCTTCTCGCGAAAACAAGTTCCGTTGCTTTCTTATATCCTTCAACATACCTTTAGCCAGGCCACACTCTGCAATCCCCTCTAATTTGTCTTTTCTCCATAATGTTACCTTTAGATGTAATGCGATACTTATGATACTAAAATTTTTTGCTTTTCTCACCCATACGTTGTGATTCTTGGAGACCCCGGAATCATGGATTCCTGTCAAAGTGATTCAAGAGCCCCTCGCAACCCCCAGCCGGCCGATCGGCCTACTGTCTCCCACCCCTCCCCCTCCCCCACGGCCTCCACCCGAAGACGCAGTACTCGTACAGTATAATTCTCCGAAATACGAAACACAAGAGCCTCCCCGGAGCACCACAATGATATCACGATCCAAGGCTGCGTTACGCTTCGAGCGGATAATAGTGAGGGCGGTTAGTAGTGGTAGAATTATTCGTTGGAGGTGAGGAGCAGTGAGGAGCATAAGGGTGTATTTCCCGCTGTTGGGGTTGGGGTGAATTATACGGGCTTGAATCCGCTTGATAGCTAATCGCCGTTTGCTGCAGTGATGAATTTGCTCTGTTAGAATAAGCCATCCACGTCACTTGTCGATCACAGCCAGCAAGAGCAAACATGCCCAAGTTAACCTTGACTTTTCCTCCCTTCAGAAAGAGGTGAGCACACTCCTATCTACCGGTAGATTTCTCCGGGGCATTAAAACCTTCTCATCCCTTCACCGTGCAACCGCACGGTGAACCTCCGTTGCTCGGGTAAGCGCTTCCTGATATGTCATATCCGAGTGACATATCGTGTACAAGTACGGTTCCCGTGAACGGTACCGGCCTCACTCCAAAAGTCATGAGTAGATTAGCTTTTTACACCAAAGACAAGTAACTTTACGGAAACACCCCCCCTCGCCTTGATTGCTTTGATACAAAAAAAAAAAAAAAAAAGAAGTGGATACAAGGCAACACCTCACGAATAAATCTTTAACCATCAGAACTCTTGGGTGAATTAATGGCCCTTAAAGTCAGGTAGTTTTAGTGCAAAATAGAAACCTGCCCGAGAATTTTCTCACGAGGATCGTACTGTACTGTACTACCAATAGCCTGTTAGTGCAGTACAGTACACTACCCTCGTCACCCGAAAGCAAACACTACGGTACAAATAGTATGGAAAAAAGAAAAAAAAAGGTGGAAAAACAAGCGGACTACAACTCCCCTGGCAGAGTATCTTACTACTGCAGTGTTGGCGGTGACCAGGGCTGATGAATTGACCAGTACTGACCACGAATATGGTCAGTGGGAGGGGGTGACAGGGGGGTGATGGGTTGTTAGGGTTATGTTGGAGTACAGTACCGTACCTACAATCGGAGGACTGCTTTTTGCCACCCATGATAGGTATTATAACTGAAATATGGATGTACAGCTCTTATGTTTTGTATATTTTACTAGCGAGGGGTGCTCAGAGGCAACACAAATTGGGTAATTTTCAGTGAAAGTTAAGATTCTATTTCCACAAACCCTAACCCACTATTTCATTGACCCCTGATGTGACCAGTAGTTGTCGAGTTTGGGGGTGATCAATCGTCACCGCCAACACTGTACTACTATACTGTATAGTACCAATACAGCCCTCTCCGAATTCTCCTCCCGTTGAAAGAAAAGAGGGAAAAAATACAGAAAGAAGGACTTGGCCAGGAACGAATATGAAATGTTAGTGTGTATGCGCTAGAATTTTCTAGAAGGGAACCCGATGCGCGTGTCCGTGCTGCCGCAATGTTTGCGGAATTGCCATAGTATAATGCGAGCGGATGGGCCTTACAAGGCACCTACTGCCGGTGTGCCTGCGGGAAGGGGAGCGCTGGTATGGAAGGGCGTTGTTGGGCGATACTTTATCCGAAGGGGTGGATAGGGGGAGGTTTCGGCGTTTGGAGGTGCCGCAATGGTGCTTGGAAGTTTGGACGGCGTTGAGGTGGGATTGTACTGTACTATGCTGTACGATATTGGTCACATCCCCTGTGGTAGCGCTCCGGTCTTTTAGAAATGAGTATCTAGTTGGAGGGGTCGTGGTGATAGCGGATTGGGGGTCGAGCTTTGGCATCGCACTTAATGTCTAGGACTATTATCGAATATGTATTGGTATTCCGCGCGCCAGCTTCTTAGAGAACGACTGCCGCCATTACCCGGTTGTTTTCCGCGGATTTTCTCAGCTAGATGGCGGGGAATGGACAGGTTCCACCGTCCCAGCACTTGTAGCCTCGTAGGTACACTAATGTTGGAAAAGGTGTGGGGGCTATGTATATTCAAATAGTTGTAGGATACTGCTCCCAAAAACACCGGGAAGAAATTCAGCGCCCACCGCAAAGGTGAAAGCGTTTAAAATAATGTTTAACTACGTACAATACCTCCACTCCAAACACTAGACCAAATTAGAAAAAATAGCGAAGAATAGAGGGAACCAGTGTTTTAAGACCATCCAAGCGATTGCTCAACAGCTTCGTCATTCCCGCCGTCAACCTCACCAGAACCTGGCTTCTCCCGGGAGTTACAGTGCGGCAGCGGCCTATACCACCCGCAAGCCGCCAGCGGAAAAGCCCGCGGCGGGAGTTCTGAATAATTTTTAGAGATGTCTGGCCATAACGCCAAATAGACCGACCGCGAACCCCTCGCAAAGCTAAAAGCGGCCTAGGTCGTCTGCGCCGGCGAAGCACCGATATCTGTAGGACTTAGTCTGTGCTTATAACCAGGTGATCGAGACCGCTCACCTTGCTCACGGGAGGGTTCTCAAGCCTGTTGGAAAACTTGAAGACTTCATCGGCGGCAAAAACACCATGAGGTATGGAATCGTAGTTTAAGATTTGTAGATTCTGCGATACCCTGGTACGGCTTAAACCGACGTAAGCCTGTCCCGGAACAAAAGGTCTGTCGAGGTTGAGTTTAGCGGAGTCTAGGGTCTGTCCCTGCGCTTTATGGATTGTAAAGGCCCATGCTAGCACCAAGGGCACCTGGATACGAAACATTTCATTCCTTGAGGCGAATCTCCGCAAACCAGACAAATACTTGACGTTTTCAAACACCTGGGCCTCCCTGTAAGGAAATATTGGGACAGGTCCTTTCCCGAAGTCTACAATGGGTATAGGAAATCCGTCCCCGGGTTCGTCAACGCTTGGAAAGTATTTTGCGCTTCTCTCAAAGTACAATTGCATATCCGTATCGTGCGCAGCCTTGCTTTCCTTTCGGTATTGTACGTACTGGCATCGTCTGAAGCCGACGATCTTTCCTTTTGCGCCGTTAACTAACCCCCTTCGTTGGTTCAAGTTCCATAAAAGCATAACTTGCGCCCCTACTTTCAGTTGAACTTGGCTTGCGGTTTGGAGACCGTCAAAAAATCCTTCAAGGGTTCTCAGCAGATTAGTCGTTTGATCAGAGCCGACCGGCAAATGTGGGTTTTGCTGTCGAGACATACCTCGGGACTTTGTATCCGAAGTTGTCACAACCTTCCCCTCTTCCCAACTGCTCCCGTCGCCTTGGTAGCAGAGGATCTTAATATGGCGTGCAACATCCATTGCAAAATAATTATATGAGCTCCCTGGTAGCTGAGCTAGCTTTCTTGTATTCTCAAAAGCTACACCCTCGCGTCTGGTATGTAACAACACGGGGTCTAGACTACTATTGTTAGCCGCTGGCGCTCGATCAAGCGTCTTCAAATATTCCAGTGTTGTAGGAGACACAATCCCTCTCCGGATTTCGGATAGCATATGGAACCACCCCTCGTCGCCCTCATGTCGATGTGGGATTTTCAACGACACCGCTTTCAGTTTGCATTGTGGCCAAGAGGTGGTTTGGAAGGCATATTTGGCGGAGTCATTCCACAGGAAGTCGCATGTAGCCCGCCTCCAATCCAAATGGTTGGCGCACCTCAGCCACCGCGTCGGATCCAGACCATATGAATACATATGCCGTTTGTATAATATATCGGTAAGATGGGGGTTGGAAGGGCTTAGATACCGGCGATGTCCCTCTGTCACTAGCCTCTGGCCTGCTTAGGGAATTAGATTAGCTATATATTCTCGGATACCAGAAACCGTGGGCACTACCACATCCGGGGCAGTTCCTAGCCACCTGGTTATCAATAGGGGGCAGCTGATAGAAATCCCCACAGAAGATCAGTTGTATGCCACCTGTAGTTGCCCCATCAAGTCAGGCTATGATACCGCAAAGAGATGACCACACCCACCAAAAGGTCGTGGATCTTTGCGAACTCGACGGCCTATTTCGGCCAGCATGTCAAATAGAGCAGGGTGTACCTACAGAGGGCGAAGTTAGAGACTTAAGTAGGAAGGGGTGATCATAACACCAAGTTTGCTACTACCGGAACAGAGGTAAAGTATGGGAACAGACGTATTGCTTCGAATTTCGAGTCAGCTCAGCAAACACAAATTCCGCAGCCTAGATCATAGAACCGTAAGGTTGGGACGAAAACGTGTTGGCTAGCTAGAGGGAGGATACCGGAGGAGCGCAGCCCGGAGAGACGCCGGCGAGTTCGATGGCTACAGTCTTCTTTCCCCATAACCTTTACCCCTGTTCCAAGCAGCCTGCATTGGCTCTCGGTGACCAAGAGCTAGGGGGTAGAGTGTCCATCTGCGAACGGGAGACCAACCATAGAGATTTCATCCACGATTAAAACCTTAGTTTCTCGCCATAGTCCTAAACGCTTAGAGTACTCGTCAATTGTACCATCGCCGGGTCCAATACCAGCCCAAGAGTGAAGTGTCCGCCCGGCAATATTGTGCGCCGCTACTCCTGTGGGTGCCGTAACACCTACACTTCCACTCCCTTCCTTCCAGTATTTGTATTTCAAATATCGTATAATATACCTTAGGGCGTATGACTTTCCGGTACCAGCTTCGCCCGTCAAGAAAACGTTGTGCCCTTGTTTCACATGTTCCAATGCACGTCTCTGTGCTTCATCTAGTTTATTCCGAGGCCTCAGCATCGGTTTCGTATCTCCAGCTCTGCAAGGATTGAGTTTCGTCAAAATCAACAGAGGATGCCAGAGTAAAAAGAAGTGACGGGAGATGGGTGTTTACAAGTCTGCTTGTCCCCGATGAGAGTTTAGGGGAGACGGCTGAATCCCAAATCTCCTCGCTTGGACGTGGCAAACCCGTAAACAATGTTGTATTCGGCAACAGTGATAAAACGATGGCATCGTATTGATGGTAGAGTGGTGATGATCGCCGCACGGTCGGCTGCGGGGACGAAGGTTGAGCGAAGAAGCCCTCCACGAAAGTTGGAGGTTGTGTCCGCCTAGCGTCTATCGCGTGCGAGCTCAGTGTGTCAGCAATGATATTCTATGTCACGTGACGCACTGTCTCTAAGGATTGCTAGAAAGTAGCGTGGCGCTCCCGTACTTGTGTCGTGATGCAGCGTTTCCCAGAGTACGAGTGGAGTATGGAGTGATGGCTGCGGTCTTTTCGTGCCATATCCTCGCCGCTCCACCCAATTGCGGGCGGAACATAAGAGACCGTCGAGAGGGATAGCAGTGGCTCTACGAGTAGAACTATTTACCGTCCAGTGAGTTCCTGGAACCGAGCACCGCTAAAGGCATAAATTTACCCAACATGTTCGCATCAAACACAAGCCAAAATCTCACTACCGTAATATTAGGACCTTGACCTAACCATCAACTATCATCTTCATCACTCCCGTAAGCTACAAGGCCCATTATCCCAGCTCCCTTTTCCCCATTCCTCTTCTCTTCCTCCTTCGATTCTTGAGCAAGCGCCCCCCCTCTCTCTTTTCCGGGGTCCCTCTCCAACGGCTTCTCTCTAGTCGTAGAACTCCTCCTCCTAACCTTAACCCCCAACGTTCTACTAGCCACCTCCTTCCTCCTCCTCTTTTTTCCACTAGCCCACAAAGCCGTATCCTGATCTCCACCATCTCCACCACCAGACTTATCAGCCTCTGACTGTTGTCTCCGAAAATCATCGAGCCGGCTCTCGAGTTCCTCCTTCCGCGCGTCTTCAACCGCCTTTTCTGTTTTCAGAATTGAGTCCTGCACCAATTAATCTCAAGAGCGCTCGAAGAACTTCAGTGGGGAGGGGGGGGGTGTACCAGATAGTCCACATCATCCTCGTCCAGTGTCTTGAACTGGTTCTTGAACTTCAACTTCTCTTCAAACTCTTCCTGCTTCTTTGCTACCAATTCACCACGATTAGCGACTCTCCCTTTGTATGGAGACAGCGCAATACCTTTATTCGCTTGTAGGATCTCGTACAAGCTTCGCTCGTCCTGCGCTTCCTCCTCTTTCGGCTTCCTTGCCGCTTCAACAGCCTCCTGGGCGGCACTCCATGGGTCAAGGCGAGGGGGCTCGTTAGACGTGTCTTCTGGAATGGCGGTACCGGCGGAGACAAATCCGGAGGACATTATTGACGTGAAAGTTGACGTTTAGTTCACCGCGATGGCCATGGATGACATTTAGTCATCACGGAAGTAACCGTAGAGCCGCATTCTTGGCACTTTCCCTCTCAGGCACAGAATGGGGCAAGAGTGGACGGAACATTTATTTGAGTCTAACCTGCCCAAGGTATACCTGTCAGTTCCTATTACTAGCAAGGATCCTTATTATTATTATTATTGAATCCTCTAATTTATCTGCAATCTAATCTACAGGGAAATGATGGCAAGTGCCCGACGACCGGCACCTCACGAAGTGGATGACTTGGTGGATGGAACATGGCTACCTAGGTTTGGGCGTCCCGGCAAGCCTCCCAGAGGAGATGAGATTAAAGCTGGTTTTGGGAACCTGTTTGATGAGGGTGTTGTGGTGGAAGAGAATGGGAAACGGACCACGGAGAGCATTGGATATAAAGAGGTGTTGATATGAAAGGGCGTTGGTTTTTCGTGGAGGAAGAGAAAACAGAATGCAAAGCTTGTAGGAAGAGATTTTGGGCTGGAAGCTCAGGAAAGAAGGGTGGATCTGAGTTGCCCAAACACCTAAGGAGAATTGAAGCCTCCAAGGAGTTTAGAGAGAAACGGGAGACCTATGAGGACCATATGAGGCGCTCGCTGATGCCTAAGTGGTCGTTTGTTGGGCGTCTGGGGCGAACTAATTGTGGGAAGTGCCGGGGGGCTTGTGGGACAGGGGAGAATTTGGGATTGCACAGAGGACGGATAAAAATTGTTATGAGGTGATAGAGGGATTGCGTGAGGAGCAGGCTCCTCGTGGAGATGTTGATTGAGTCTGTCTAGTAATCTGTTTTGTTTCATTTTGTTTGGGGGTTCCATTGTGGAGGAGTGATTGCGAGACCGGCCTGACGGTGGTAGCGTTTTGCGGTTATTGGTGTTCCTGCCAGCCAACCTTGACTTTGGCTATGAGAGTAGGTGAAAGATTGTGTTGGGTTGGCCTAGAATACCTCATGGAATGCAATGGCTTGGGATAGAGGACCAGAATTGGAATGCTTCCCGGTAGTTTAGTGCCGAATATAGTTTATTGCCTAAATCATGGCCTAAAAAACCCCAAGGCAGGGAACTTCGGTTGGTCCCGGGGAACAAGTGAACAATAAAAATCTCATATATACTGAACACGGTCCATAAGCTGGTGAAGCCGAATTGGCATCGCCGGGTCCACTCACCTTTCTTATTGCTCCCAAGTTGCAGAGGAGGATGAGGTAGATAGGGGTAGGTGTTAGCCACAATGTTTTTATCTCATGCCGAGTCCATTCCCCAACCCTATGAAGCTCCAAGTTCAGTCTTGTGGGCAGGATCGCGATATTTGTTTGAAGTGTTTAGCCCGGTTCAGACCTTCCCAAATGCAAAGGTGAAAAGGAGGGTCAGGAAAATGGTGGTAACGGAAGTTTATGCTATTAACGATCTCCCCCGCCAGTACTCGCATAATCCAAGTTTCAGCACAAAAAATCTCCTAGATAAAAGTCACCTGATTCCTGGACTACCGTACAGTATCTTTGCTCCCCGTGTTCGCTATGTCCTGTTCTCTAGGCTCTCGGTGGCCGCAGAGGTCGCCCCTGTCTTGATATCTAGAGTTTTTTCAACCACAGCGCCCATTTCGAAAGGTATCGCTTCGTGGAAGCGCTCAAAAGATTCCCTTTTTGATTGCCAATAACATAACCTCCGGTTTTCAGTAAAAGCGATAATGGCGGAGAGAAATCCATTATTTACCATCTGAACCCACAGCGAGGCTTGGAGATATTTTGCAGCAAAGGATGCCTGCGGCCAACGACAGTACCCGGGTATCAAGGGTAAGTCTGCCGAACAGGGAGAGAAGGAAGGGAGAGGAGGTGGCGGTGAGAGGGTGAGGTGGAGGAGAGGAGAAAGGATAAATTTGATTTTTGCTTTTGTTGATTTGTTTTTGGTTTTTTCTTCGGGCAGACATGCCGGTGCATATATCATAGAAGGCTTATAGTATTGTAGTTGGTTTAGGTATGATACTACAATCGAAAAGTTTTACATAAAAAAAAAGACTGTCGAACTCCCTCTGGTTGACCTAGCTAGTGCTCGGCCACTTAGAAGACGGGGTTCTCTCTAGAAACTCGGCGAGAGTTCGATTATTAAAATATATTCGGTAACTACCGGGAGGGATTTCAATCCAGGCACTCTATCCCATGACATTACTTTCCACGAGCACCGGTAAGTCAACCCAGCACGACATTTTGCAAGAGTTACACAGACCTTTTCATTTATTAGTGTAGATTAGCTATACAATACAGAAAAAAACATAGGAATTTCAACGGATCAGCCAAGGTTCGACAAATAGATGCTCACACTCTAAGTAGACTACTAGTACTCGAGTACTTGAGTAGAAAGCTAAGCTGTGTCCTACCTCACTGAGGGTGTTGCCTGCTGTAGCTGGGGGCTCACTTGGTCGACTGGGAATTGCGTCATGTTGTGACGCTGAGGTTGCCAGAGATTTGGTGTAACTTGCTTTGTTTGCTATTTAGGGTGCGTCTGGTTGCAACATGAAGCCTTAGATTTACCTGCTCCCTGTGGTCACCAAAATAGCAGAACAGATCATTCTCATTATGCTAGCCCAGTACTAGGAGTTAGAAGAGACCTGGTTTAGGTCTAAGTAGAAGTAGGGCATGCACGATGCTATCTCCGTTGATTATGAATTTTTGCATCACAATGAGGGTATGTAGTATATGGTTGTCACGAACTGTGACTAAGCAAGGCCAATTTCACCTAGCTCGGACTTCCAAGTTATAGGTATATTGGGATTTCACATGACGCACATTAGTGCGCCATAGGATATTATGTTTACTTGTTCGTGACTCACAGTTGTGAGTCACACGATGTTATGATTTTCGCACATGACTCATACGTATGAGTCATGGGTTTCACTCAGGTGACGCGAGTTGCGCACCTGACTTGGTTATTATGTTATGATTGGTTTAAGGCATGTTGCGCAGCGACTCATACGAGTTGTCTGATGGATTTCGCATGACTCATGGTTATGAGTCAAAGGGTTCGCGTGATGCGAGGCATGAGTCATGCCAGGTGAAGAGCTACTATATAAAGGATCACTAGGATCCTGAGTATGAGCTCTTCACACGTTCTTCTTATTTATTTCCTACCTTTAAGTTATTATCAATTAAACCTACCTTTACACTATTTAAGATTTATCTTAAGAAACCCGAGAAGTGTCTTTCCTCTCACGAGGAGAGATTAAGTCCTAAGTGAGGACTAAGAAGAAGAATAAGAAGATAGGCGCGAATACAATAGTAGTCAAAGGACCAGACTATCGGAATCGCGTAGGCATAGGCCTGATAGCTATCACCTTACAGAAAAGTATCGTTACCTGTCGCTAGGTCCTACCCAGTAGGATTCTTAACATTAGAACGTGTCTACAACACGACACTTAACGATTACAACATGGATCCTTTCAACAGAGATCACGAGGGAGACATAGCCATCCAAGACGACAGTCTTGGATTAGGAGGATTGGAAGAAGTGCTTAGCGAAGCAAGTCAAAACGCAGCAAGATCGACAAGTCCAGTCACCCCAGAACCAATCACTCCACCCTTACCAGAACAAACTCCAGAAACTCCAAGACCTGAAAGAATGTCAGGACCAGCACCATCACCTGGACCGCCACCAGCGGGGCCAGCCCTGTTCACTCGAGAAGAAGTGCAACAGATGATACGAGAAGAATACCGAAGCAGAGATCAGAAGCCAAAAGTCAAAACACCACCCAGATACAATGGAGAAAGAAGCAAACTACAAGGATTTCTGGTCCAACTCCTCACATACTTCAATGCAGTAGGGTAGAACCAAGAACACGATGACGACAAAATACGCTAGACCTTAACACTACTTGAAGCAGCAGCCCTACAGTGGGTTACTCCTATAGTGCTCAGTCAGACACCAGTACCATGGACAACCTGGGACAGCTTCAAAATCATATTTGAAGCCCAGTTCATGAATATGGAACTGAGCCAATCGGCATGAAACAAATTGGAAGATATCAGACAAGGAACGAAGAACGTCACCGACTATTGGTATGAATTCAGACTTCTCCAATATGACGCCGAATGCGATAAAGCAACAGCAATGAGGTGGTTCATGAAAGGTCTGAGAAGGACCTATCAAGAAGCCTGGAGATATGGCGAGGAAAAATTCACGACAACAGAAGCCATGGCTAGCTGGGCCATTAGAAAAGAAATTCAATTCGGACAACTAGATTGGATACAAAAGACTCAGCCAGCCTCAAGCCAGTCTAACCAGACATACCAAAAAAACCAAAACATGCCAAGGAACTAGAATGGGACCTATAGGACCACCACGCAAGGAGGCGATGCAATGGACCTGGACGCAACAAGGAAAAGACCGTCGCTCAACCTGGGAAAAGACGAATACCTTAGGAGACGAAACAATAATCTGTGCCTAAGATGCGAAATAGTAGGGCACATGATTAAAGATTGCAGACGGCCTGCCAACCCAAGTCAAGGAAGAAGCCAATAGAACACTAGACCAAGCACAAGATTCCAACCCTGCAGCAATATCAGGGAAATTGATATCGAAGACGAATACGAAACTGTGGCAAAAGATGAAGGTCCCCAGTAATAGATGGTCTGCGGGACCCTCCGAAAGACAAACCCATCTAGACAGCTAACTACTACACTCTTTTAAGTCAGAAAGGAAACAACAATGACAATGATTATATCATGATCCAAACCATAATATATAACGACAAAAAACAAGCAACCAAGATACATGCGATACTCGACTCAGGAGCAACTGAAGACTTCATAGACGAAGAGGTATGCAGAAAACATCACTTAAGGACCAGGAAAACGAAGAAAGAAAGGCAGATCTACCTCACAGATGGAAAACTCAGCGATATGGGGCCAATTACCCATACAGCACAAGTACTTATGAACATTGGGAATCATAAGGAAGTGGCAACCTTCCAAGTGGCGAATCTGCAACACTATGAAATAATCCTAGGGATGCCATGGTTACGACAACACAACCCCACAATCAATTGGGAAGAAGGAAAGGTGGCGTTTACCAGCGAACAATGTACGACATGGTGTCTCAACAGCTCGCCGGTAATATACGCTATACCAGAAGATGAAGCAATCCAAGAGAACCTAGACGTGAGGTTCAATCAAGTTCAACCAAGAAAGGATCCAAGGATCAAAGTCAAGAAGCTAAGCCAAGAAGCAAAGATACCCACAAGAGGGTCCGAAAGGGCAGCAGGACATGACCTGTATGCCAACGAAGAAGTCAAGATACCGGCCAATGGGAAGGTAATTATTCCAATGGGCATAACCATTGAGTTACCACAAGGAACCTATGGGAGTATAGCACCACGCAGCGGTCTCACAGTCAAACATCGACTCACTACCAATGCTGGAGTAATAGACGCCGATTATACAGGTAAATTGAAGGTGGTCATGGTCAACCAGGACAATAAAGACTATATGGTGAGAAGAGGCAATAAGATCGCACAATTGATCATTGAGAAAATCAATGAAGAGGAACTCCAAGAAGTGGAGAACCTGACCAAGACCACCAGAGGAACCAAAGGATTCGGCAGCACAGACCAGGAGAGGCAGCTACAAGAAAAAGCACCAAGGATCGAAATCAACAGGATATCGGCGCGAGCATTCGGGAAATTCTACCGCAAGGAAGAAACAGCAGGAATTCTCAAATGGGATTATCAAGAGCCAGGAACAAGTCTAGCAAAAATCAATATCAGCACAGAGCGAGCCATAAGAAGCCGACCTCAGAAAAAGGACAAACAACTTGACAAGTTGGTACCAAAAGAATACCATCAACACCTAGACTTATTCCAAGAAAAGGAATCAACCAAGTTACTACCACACAGGCCAGATGTCGATCTAGAGATCAATTTCGAAGAAGCTAGCAAAGGACTACCTCAGAAAAGAATATACCCGCTAGGAGAGACCGAACTTGAAGAACTAAGGAAATACATTCAACAGAACCTGGAAAGAGGATGGATTCAGCCATCCTATGCCAATGGAGGATCACCCATCCTGT